AAAAAAAAGTTTTACAGTTTACATTAAGAGGAATCATCCTTATTACATATTAACACTGAAATATAAAGATCTAAATATATATTTATAGCGTGACGCGGCTGGATTTTTAAAAATCACACTTTAAAGGCCCTAAATATACCATTTAAAAACGTAGTTTTGCCCGGAAGAGTCAAATGTGGTGGCCCGGAAGGGGAAATAGTGGTGGCTCATGGCTGCCGGAAGAGAAAAAAGCTAATATGTGGCCCGGAAGGGGAAATAGTGGTGGCTCATGGCCGCCTGCCTTCCCCCACTCGTCATATCAGGGATGAATTAGATATCCATGTTTTTGTTCTTTTACATTTTATTCATTTTTGGTCTCTCAGAAAAACGATAGTATCTTCCACATTTTAACAGAAAGGTTTCAAGGGTACCGTGTAATTCGGGCATTGCCATCTTTGCATTAAGGGTCAATTGAAATTACGTTAACAGTCCCTTTAAGGCTAAAAAAGAGTAGTGCCTGTTAAGCACATTTTTTCAGACTTTTTTTTTAACTTTGGATAAAGTGTGAAGTCATACAATGTCATTATCAAAAACTTAATTTTTATTTTTTATTAAGTGGGTATTCATAATTTTAAGTTAAATGTGAATGTAACTAAGAAATGTACGTTTTCAGTCCATTTTAACATTGTTGTTTTATTCACTTGTAAATTATATCAACATATATGACTTGCTTAGTTTTTCTATGTGCAAAATGCCTTTGAAGAGGAGAGATGGAAGGCAACCTCCCCTGCACAGCTTCCGAACCTTATTTGACCTATTTGCGGCAGTGCGCATCCCCGTAGGGCTTCCGAACCTCCCCCAAATAGTCTTCCGGGAATGATCTTCCGTTTACAATTGTCAATTTCTACTTACAACGGGACTAATTCGATTATTTAAGCACGGTAGTCCATCTATAGTATCCTTAAAATTTTCAAAATAATTTTATTTCATTTTTACAATCAAAGTTTGAACTAGAAAAACCAAAACTTTGTAGATTTTGTTTTAGAAATACTTAATTCTACCATTGACTTCTTCTCAAATTTCTATTGTTAAATACGTTCCTGAACAACAATTTAGTTTTCTGCAGTTTTGTTGAAAATGTTCTTGATTTCGATCTTAATTTTGTCATGATTTGTCAGAGTTAAAATAGATTTAAGAACAGTGTTCTTAATTTCTTTCTGGACAGTGGCCACTATGTTTCTTTTTATTTTTCAGATCTGCGCATGGCTTGACAGAAGTAAAAGAACGGATGTTGCTTTTGTAAATACTTGGTATAAACTGAAATGAAAATGGACGAGCACTTAAAGACCGATGAGAGAGTGGTGGACACAGAAACATCTGATAATAATGGTGAAAAAACATTGTCTTGTCCTATTTGCGGAAAAGGTTTTTCCCATAGTCAGAGTAGAAAAAGACACATGAAAACTCACACCGGAGATACAAAAACAACATGCCCGATTTGTGAAAAAGATTTGGCGCGCGCAGATGCGCTTTCACGGCATATGGCAGTTCATGCCTCTAAGGAAGAAATACAAATGTTCTTTTGTGAAATCTGTGAAGAAGGATCGACCTCATTTAAGAGGTTAATGAAACACATGAAAACTCATGACGAGCATAAAGACACGTGTGAATTATGTGACAAAGTCTTCTCTTCTATTTCTAATTTAAAAAGACACATTGAGAGAACCCATAATCATGTGATTAAGAAACCCATGAAGAAAACTGAACAATCTTACACTTGTTCTTTTTGCACGCAGGTGTTTAAACACTCTGCAAGTAGAAACAGGCACATGAAAACCCACACAAGTTCAGATAAATACCAATGCACAGTCTGCAACAGCGCATTCCCGCGTTCTGACACTCTATACAGACACATGAAGACGCACAAAGAAGATCGGTTTCCTTGTGACATTTGCGGGAAATCTGTGAAAACCTACAGTAGGCTCGTTACACACATGACAACTCATACTAGTAAGGTGTGTGTGGTTTGTAACAAAAGGTTTAAAACAATTAGAATTTTGCAGAGACACATAAAGCGTCATGAGGAGGAGGGTTTGAATGTGGAGGCTTGTTTGGAGGGTAGTTTGGTGGATGGTTCGGAGGATGATTTGGAGGATAATTTGGTGGATGGTTCGGAGGATGATTTGGAGGATAATTTTGAGGATGGTATGGAGGATAATTTAGAGGATAATTTAGAGGATGATTTGGATGATAGTAATTTTATGGAATCTGATGTAAAACCAGTTCTCAGAACGGACCTCAAATGTAAAGATGTGAACAAAATGTCCGAAAACATGGACGCGGGGAGTGAAATTAAATTGGAAACTGATCTTGGGATTATTGTTTCTGAACAAGATGTCATGGAAATTATTCCAAAAGTTGAAGAGGGTATGGAGAGAGATTCACATGGCTTCCATTGTGAAATTTGTTCAATTCCGTTTACTCATTACATTACTCTTGAAAAGCACATGAAAACCGAACACTTTAGTAATAAAACTTGTGCTTTCTGTGAACAAGTTTTCTCATCAAACTCAAACTTGAAGCGACACATGAAGAGGCTTCACGGTCTGAATATTGAATTAAAAGATAAAGATGAACAAGCTGCGGAACAAACTAAACCGGAAGATACTAAGATACACCCCTGTGGTGAGTGTGAAGAAGTCCTCACTTCCAAAGAAGATTTGAGAGAACATTGGATGACTCACAAAGACTTTAAACCCTACAAGTGCCAGTTTTGCGAGCAAAGCTTTAAACATGCTCCTAGTAGAAACAGACACTCAAAAACACATACAGAAACCGACAACCATTCATGTACTTTCTGCAACAGAAAGTTTAACCGTCAGGATACTTTGAAGAGACACATGATAAGCAAACATACTCCTAAAGAATCACTTCAACGATTCTCGTGTGCAATATGTGAATCCTCCTTCGCATTTAATCATATTTTGGAGAGACATATGAAAACCCATGTTGAAAGAGGATACCACTGTAAACTCTGCAATAAATCGATGTCGACCGCGGAGCGATTAGCCAACCACATGATACGGCACACTGGTATAGTTTGCTCCATCTGCAACATAGCCTTTTCTAAAGTTGGGAATTTGCAAAAACACATGAAGAAACATGAAAATGAAGTTGATTCTCTACTCCCTGATCTTGTTATTAAGATAGAAACTGATATTTAGCACTCATTAATCTAATGATTTTCCTAATTTTACTCCATCCATAGACAATAGACACACTTTTGAAAATTAATCTTTAAATAACACAAATTCTAACTTTTAAGTACACATGATTGTTTTTATCAAACTAGTTTAAAATAGCTGCTAGTTTATCAAACTAGTTTAAGCTAGTTTAAGTTTCTTTTAGAATGTTAATTGTAAATTGTACATAATGAACATAATTATATCTTGTTAAATTTTGTGAAATTCATGAAAATTATTTTTAAAAAAACGAACCCTTATTCACTTTCATTTTTCTTACTTTGGAGAGAATTAAACAAAATGTGCCATCAGCGGACCTATATACCCTCTTTCCTAGGAAAGCTTTATATTTTATGCACAGTCCCCCCCCCCCGGCCCCCTTCCTGATCTACAAAAATAGTTTCTCCCACCCAAAACGGAAGAATAAATTCTTCAAAATAAAGGCCCACAATAACTTTTTTATCACCCTTCCCCCTTATTGTTGTAATTTGCTATCAATGACGTAGTTTGAGATATATTTGCAATTCTAATTTATTGTAAAGAATGTTTGAACAGTTTAAAGATGCTGTTTAACAAGAACACAGTAACACAAACAAAACCATCCATGACATTGATACATATATTTTTTTTCTAAGTTTAAAAAAAAATTATTCACTGAAGTTTTTACGTTCGGGAAGTCTAATGCAAAGTACTTTTTAGAAATAAAAGCTTTGGAAATGCCGAAATGCTAATAATACGTTTTTGCCAGGAATATATTGTTTTTCAAGGGACTGTTTACTATTCAGTGTTCAGAGCTTTGGAATTACATTACCAGGGGGGATAGTTTCCTACCTGTACCATATACTCAGTTAGCTGTACTGTACAATTACATTACCAGGGGGGATAGTTTCCTACCTGTAGCTGTATGCTCAGTTAGCTATACTGTACAATTACATTACCAGGGGGGATAGTTTCCTACCTGTACCTGTATACTCAGTTAGCTGTACTGTACAATTACATTACCAGGGGGGATAGTTTCCTACCTGTACCTGTATACTCAGTTAGCTGTACTGTACAATTACATTACCAGGGGGGATAGTTTCCTACCTGTAGCTGTATGCTCAGTTAGCTATACTGTACAATTACATTACCAGGGGGGATAGTTTCCTACCTGTACCTGTATGCTCAGTTAGCTGTACTGTACAATTACATTACCAGGGGGATAGTTTCCTACCTGTACTTGTATACTCAGTTACCTGTACTGTACAATTACATTACCAGGGGGGATAGTTTCCTACCTGTAGCTGTATGCTCAGTTAGCTATACTGTACAATTACATTACCAGGGGGGATAGTTTCCTACCTGTTTAGCTGTACTGTACAATTACATTACCAGGGGGGATAGTTTCCTACCTGTAGCTGTATGCTCAGTTAGCTATACTGTACAATTACATTACCAGGGGGGATAGTTTCCTACCTGTTTAGCTGTACTGTACAATTACATTACCAGGGGGGATAGTTTCCTACCTGTTCCTGTGTGCTCAGTTAGCTGTACTGTACAAAGTTAGCTGTGTGCAAAGGTCAAATTAAATTTTTTGGGGGGCTATTTTCAGTTTGACGAAATCTTATCTTTTAGGGGGCAATTTTGTTTTGTGTTTTTTTCAGTTTGGGCAAATTTGTGTATGGGAAATCTTAAATATTTATTTTGAGGGCAAATTTTTTTTAAGGGCATTTTCAAAGTATATGAAGGATTTTTTTATCATAGGGTGGGCGTAAAACTTCTTAATTTTGGAGTAATTACCTTAAAGTTGGGTGTAATTATAAAACTTTTGGTGATAAAAATAATTTAAATTTAGATGCAAATTATAAATATTTGACGGCATTCTAAAAAAGGGAGTAAACTTCAGTCTGGTGGGGCAATTTGAGTAAGAATGTGTGAGTATAATTTAAAACATTTTTGGGCATTTTTCTAATAAAGGCCGGGCAAAAATAAAAAGAATCTGATCTTATATTGAAAATGTAATTGTGGAATTTGAGTTTGCATTAAGAATTGAGGGCATATTTTTTCTTCAAACTTTCGAGAAAATTAGTAATATTTGGAACTATATGGACCCCTGTTAAGGACTTCTGCTCCTCCTCGACCACCATCTACAGGGGGTGTAAGCCTTCTTAGGGGGGGAAAGCCCCCCCTTAATCAGGCTAGGGGGGCTGGGGTCAACCCGGAGACCGAAATGTATTTTCAATAAAATGTGTAACCATGAACTACTTTTTGAACTCCAGAGGTTTGGTTTTAACGCCATCACCGAATTTTAAAAAAGAGCACCACTTATAGATGAACTAACAACTTTTGAAATTCGTTTTATCAATCCTTCATGAAATAGCATTTAAAGTAAAGAAGATTATAATAATATTAGTTAATAATAACAATTGTCAGGAGATTTTCTGTAACCTACTCTCCGCCGGTTTCATTTAAAGTTTGTACACAATTGTTCCAAATTGGTTTAAAAATGTTTTAAACAGAATGATCTAATGAATGTCAGAGGCATGGTTCACGATCAGGGATATGGGGGCACAGAGTCAGACCTTCTCTGAACCAGTGGAATCTAAGGATTTCCATAGCTTTTAATCCGGAAATAAACAGGTGCCGCTCCCCCCTTCCCTCAGGAAAGAAAAAGATTAAATAATTAACAGATTTGCCTCCAATTTCAGTTCATTTTTAAAGCCTCCCATAATAGATTATCTCCAAGCTTTATATCGGCCAAATAAACTGACTTTTCTCGAGAAACCGTAGCATTTCCTGCAAGAAAATTTTTGCATCAAGTTTAATTTTTCTTTAATGTGTTTCAATTTTCTTAAATTTTATAATTAGTCCTGAAAATCGTACTTTTGACCCAATGAAGATTTAATGTAATGTGGATACCCTGTTGGTTGAATTGTGTAAAATTCCGATAGTACCTTAGTTCGGTAATGTTACATCGTCTATACGCAACATCCCCCCTACTGAACTTCTGACCTACTAACTTTCCGACCTACTGCAATATCGGACCTACGCCAGCTGTTTATTTTAGTATTATTTGAGGGTTGGGTTAGGTTAAGACAATTTCTGGGCCGAGCGCTGCGGCTAGGGGGCCGAGCGCCGTGGCTAGGACAGGCTCTAGGGGGCCGGGCGCTGCGGCCACAAGTCAATAAAGCAGCTGTAATACCACGTGCTAGTAGGTCGGATGTGTAGTATAGCGGATTTGGCGTAGGTCAGAAGTGGAGTATGGCGGATATGTGTAGGTCGAAAAATACACCACCCTTAGTTCACATGATGTAGCATCATTTGTTTCAAAACATTTCAAGTTGAAGACGACATTTTAAACATTCCTAATTACGCGTAGAGTCTAAAATTTCCTATTTTTTTTCTTCTAACTGCGTAGACTCACCTATTCTATTCTATCCTAGATACAAAATCCAAACCAAATCTATGGGCAGAGTTCCAATGGCTTTCTGCTTTTTTTCCGACCCTAGAGACAAGAAGTCTCCTGTGCTTAAATAAGTGAGAGCTGAGAGAAAATGAATACAAAATAAACAGTGAATTTTGTGAAGTATATTAAACATCTTTATAACTATTCTTATTCAGAATAATAATGACTTTGAAATAGCGTAAATTGCTCGAAACATATTTAATTTTTTCATGTCGTATTGATTATACACATTTGCTCTACAGATTTAAAATTTAAATATAATTGATAATTTTTGATAGGTTCATAGTTTTGACAATCCTCTTTTCAAAATATAATTATTTTTCCCCAAAGAAAGGTTTGATTGTTAACGCTAAAAGTTGTTTACGCTTTTTTATCATAGAATTAGGGAATTATTAAGTTGGAAATTGTCATCCAAAAATGCATTTATTTTCGTCAATTTAGCGGTTCATAAAGTTATTGATAAACATATTTTACAAACTAAAAAAAGAAGGCCGGGGGGGGGGTGTATTCCCCCCCCCCCCATTCAAATATATGTAGAATTTTCAATGATTATATTTTGAAGTCGAAAGAAGCCATATATATATTCAACCAGGTATATAATTATGTCTAAACATTGTGTCACTCTGAACTTGCATGAAATCATTTTAAGATTTTTTTAACAATTATTTTTTTCATTTATTTTTAGGAATAAATAAACAAAATCTGAGATAAATTTATTTGTAATTTTTCAGATTTAAAAGTGAAAGCTGACCTGTGCCATATTTATTAAATTTGAAGATCAGACGAAATCTTGGAAATATCAATTAATCTGTTGATGAGTGAAATATCAATTAATCTGTTGATTAGTGAAATAAAGTTTGTTTTTGTCACACAAGTTGCGAAAAGAACTAAAGAAAATGAAGAATTATGAATTAGTTTAATCTAAGCAGGGTACTCAGGTATTTATCATTTTATTTTTTGGTATTCTAATGAAAAATCAGTGCTTAGAATCAGGATCCTTGATCCTCAACATTTTGGTTTTCCGCAGAAAGATTTGGATCCACTGATCTGGATCCAAGGGGCAAAACATTACTCAAAACCGGTTCCTAGGATCCATTTAATTTTGATGCGGATCCGGATCCATAAAGTTTACTGAAGTTTTTTAACAAAGCAGAATTTCAAATTTTTGTCATTTTTGTGGATCCGGATTCAGGAAGCCAAAATCTTTCGGATCCAACGGATCCGGATCCTAAACACTGATCAAAACTGTTAAAAATCACAATTTCTTTCAAATTTGAACTGTTGAAAAATGAGCAATTATTTCGAATTTCCTTATCTCTGAATAAATAATCTAGATTGAGCTTAAAAGGAAACTAAAAAAATTGAACATTTTTCGGTGAAAAAAAAACGATAAATCTTTTTCTGTTGATCCGGATCTGGATCCATTTTTCTTTTCAATGCGGATCCGGTTCTGTATCAAAATGAAATCTAAAATTTTTTTTCAAGAATTAAAACTGTTTATTTGTATTGAAATTATACTTATTGGATTGTAACCATTTAAATTTTATTCAAATTTAGCCAATTTATATTTAAGTATTGCTAATTTCTTTAACAGATTACAGAAACAGGCTTCCAAAATTTGTGCTGATTTTTATATAGAAACTTTATTAAACCTAAGATGATGGCTTTAATGATATCTTTATTGAAATTAATGTTGTTTTGTGATTTAGAACAAAAAGTTTTTTGTTTTGCCAAAATAACTTGAACCAGTGGATTTAAGCACTAAAATACGAGGTGTGTATGATCCAGAATGCGAATTTTATTGTAATTTCTTTATTTATCGGAGAATTTCCCTGATTAATAGCTTATTGGAAAGGTATTGTTGTTGCCGTTTGATTGCATTATAAACATAATCACGAAAATTCTGGATCAAACACACCTCGTATATGCAGATTGCAGAATCATTCATTAGATAAAATGTTACTTTTTTGTTGTAGTAAAATTGTTCTGAATTTCTCCTGAAACCGGAACAGTTTATTTATGTTAATCTAGATTAAAGTAAAAAAAAAATTAATGACAGATTAAAAAAAAAACCAGTTTAATCACTGAATGGTAACTAAAGTCTATGTATTCACAATTTAAAACAAGAAGAATCTTTTTGAATTAATTTTTGGTGAAAGAAATGACTAAAACTTCAAAAATCAGAAACATTCTATTCAAGACGGATCCGGATTGATTTGAGAATGAGATGTCCCATAATGTTTGTAATATAGAATGCCTGCTGAGACCCCTGTGTCCCACCAGAATGGGACAGGAGCACCTAGGGCCACCCTTCTATGCAGGTACCTTGTGATTCCCCNCCCCCCCCCCCCACCTCATCCTGTTAATAATACCCCCCCCACTTTTAGCCAAAAAAATGTCCAAATTAAACCGACCACTGTTTGAAATAAGTTTTCTGTCAATTCTTGGAAATAAATGACCTACGGGGTCTGTCTTCTAGGAATATACCGACCTACGTCCTACGTGTGTCGTGCATTGGTTGCAAATCTGTAAATTAATATATTTACGACCCCCCCCCCCCTTATGAAAATAATTATTAGGTTGTTATCATTTGGAACGATGTGTTTGTTTTCAGTAATTTTAACTTGTTCTTGTTTGTTTTCGATTGTAATTCAAGAAATTTAATCCCTAACACTTCGTCAGGGATTATATATCAAACAGAAATAAGTACAAGTACCGGCCAAAATACATTATTTAATCCCTAACACTTCGTCATTGATTGATTGATTAATACTTTTTAGACCGAATTCCCATCCCTTCAATGATCGTAATCTGCAGCTGGATCAGGAGATCAAGATCGGCAGATCGGTCGCCAGAGCCAAACCTACTCTAAACAATGCAATTTTTGACTGCAAGGTAATTTTTCAGGGATCGCTCAGATGTAATGAAATAACTATTTATTTACTATTAGGGAGGAAATTCCAGGGAGAACTGCCAACTAAAGCGGGAATTTACTTATCTAAGTGGTTTCGAGACTTTTTAAAAGAAATTATCAAAAAATTCGAAAACACGAGGAAAAGTCAATTTCCAGTGAAGTGCAGTTCTAACGAAGGAAATTCTTGCTTAAAGTTAATAAGTAGTTTTATCCCATTCTTTAAGCAATATTAATAACCGATTAAACTTTACAATATTGATTAATAAGTATATTTAACGGTGTTGTTGATATTAATATGTCTAAATACCAAAAAAAGTTTTATATTTTGTTAAAACTTTGCAATTTAGCTATATTCAATATTCATCTCGTAATTGCGCGAATTTTTCTCATTTTTTGTGCAATACCTCACTTTCTTTCCATTGGGCAAACATATATATATATATATATATAGGTTTCACATATTAAATGAGATAGCAACAGTATAATGAAATTCATTTTTGAAGGTTTTCTAGGATTTTTATTTATGGCCATGACTATTTGAAAGTTATTTATGTCTTTTTGAATAAATGTATTTCTGTTATTAATCTATTACTTTTAAAAGAGAAGTTCGTTCTGGATTTTATTTATTTTATTTTATTGTTTTTTATTGTTATTGTTATTAGTATTAAGATTGTTATTGTTATTTTTATTGTTATTGTTTTTTATTTTCATTATATATAGGTGTTAAGTAGAAACCATGCAGTACTTTGGTATAGCCTGGGAAAATTCTACCTTCAAGACACTAAGTCAAGCAATGGAACCTTTGTCAACAACCAGAGGCAATCTTAGAATTATAAATAATCAGTGCTTAGGATCCGGATCTGTTGGATCCGCACTATTTTGTATTTACTGGATCCGGATCTGCACTATTTTGTATTTACTGGATCCGGATCCGCACTATTTTGTATTTACTGGATCCGGATCCGCAACATTTTGTATTAACTGGATCCGGATCTGCATCCAGGAGCAAAATATCAACCAAAAACTGCCAAAAAAATTCTTTACTCTCAAAACTTTAATCTGCAATCTGCATTATTAATAAAAGAGAAATTATAAAAAATGTCATTTTCTCTGAATGGTTCATTAAGTTGTTTAAAAAGAAGGGAAAAAAAATTCTTCTTCATAGCTGTTAAAAATAAATCAGTAAATCTTAAATAACAGATTTGGATCCGGATCCATTTTTTCCAGTGCGGATCCAGGATCCGGATTTGCATCAAAATTAAATGGATCCTTAGCACTGTAAATATCTAGGCTTTCAGGTCGCATCGCACCAAATGTTGCGTTACATGCACCTACTCTTTTCTTCTTATATTTTGAAAAAATTTTAAGATCTTCTTAATCATAAATAACCCGGGCATATTAGGGTTCTGTTGTAAATTTCAATGTTTTTGGGAGTGATAGGTTTATTTTTGAATTCTAAATGTTTTGGATGGTTTTTTTTTGTCATGTTAAAAGATTTTGGATAATTTTGTCCATCAAAAGTTTGGGCCTGATCGGTTCAGCCGTTAGGACATCTATTAGATTCAAATTAACAGACCAGCCTAATGCATATATTGGAAGTGAATGAGTGGGGCGCCTATTTTCACTTTTTGAATGTTAAGTCCAACAAAAGAAATTTTAAAATGTGATTTGTTATAAGATTATTAACTTTAGGTTAAGCAAAGGAACAGAAGAGTCTGCACCGAGAGAGGTAAATTATTGATTAATTGATATTTTTTGAAAATTATATTTTTCATTGCATAAAAGTTTTTTTTTTATTTATGGATTAATTGACAGATATGTATTTCTAAATTTGTTAGATGGTTGTTTGATTGATTGTTGAATTGAGTGGTTAAATGGTTGATTGATTGATTGATTTAGGTATGTTCGGGGGACATTCTACAGTTTGGCGTGGATGTCATGGAAAACTCAAGAAAGGTGAGTATTGAGGATTATTAATAAATAATCAGAGTGACGCATAATTTGTTCTAATTATGCTATTTTTAAATATTTTAACAAACAATTACAAGTGAAAAAAAACTGTTTTATAATTAAGGACACATTTTACCGACTAAAATTAGAAAAAAAGTGTTAAATATTGAATGAATATTGCGAACTAGTCCTCCTACAAATTAGGATTTTGTTCGCATTTTCTACATATTTTATTTATTAAGGTTACCCATGGTTGCATAATTGCCACCCTGAAGCTTTTCCTACCTGATGGTAAAGAGGCAAAAGTAAGTTTTTATGATAAATATTTAATCTAGTTTATATTGATTAATTATTTTTAATAAGAAATGAACACAAAACGAATTGTAAAGTTATAGGGTTACCCATAAAGATTATTTATGTTGACCATAATATAGTCTTTATTAGACGGTGTTAAAAATAACAAGTTTCAAGTTGCAAGTTTCAAGGGAACCAAGATTAAATAAAAAGTTATTTTAAAATACTCTCCGAAGTCTCATTTTTTGTAGTTAACCCTGTACATAGATATCACAAGAGGAATAAAAGTACATTGATATTGATATTAACGAAAATGATGATATTAACGAAAATGATACAAATAACGAAAATGATAATATTAACGAAAATGATGATATTAACGAAAATGATGATACTAACGAAAATGGTGATATTAACGAAAATCATGATATTAATGAAAATGATGATTCTAACGAAAATGGTGATATTAACGAAAATCATGATATTAACGAAAAACATGATAATGATGATATTAACGAAAATCATGAAAATAATTTAATGATGATAATGATGATATTAACGAAAATGATGATATTAACGAAAATGGTGATATTAACGAAAATGATGATACTAACGAAAATGGTGATATTAACGAAAATCATGATAATGATAAAAATGATGATATTAACGAAAATCATGGTAATAATGAAATGCTGATAATGATGATAATGATGATGATGATGATGATGATGATGATGATGATGATGATGATGATGATGATGATGATGATGATAATGATAATGATGATAATGATGATAATGATGATAATGATGATAATGATGATAATGATGATAATGATGATAATGATGATATTGATGATATTGATGATAATGATGATATTGATGATAATGATGATAATGATGATAATGATGAGCTAATGATGAGAATGATGAGAATGATGAGAATGATGATAATGATAATAATGAGGATAATGAGGATAATGATGACCACAGGACCTTTACCAGCTCAATACATATATCCAGGTACAGTGTTATAACATATATTCATGAATGATTAACACCCCCCCCCCCCCCCTCTTGGGTGAAGGGTAAATTAATTCCTATTTGTTAATTGTCATCCAAAAATGCATTTATTTTCGTCAATTTAGCGGTTCATAAAGTTATTGATAAACATATTTTACAAACTAAAAAAAGAAGGCCGGGGGGGGGGTGTATTCCTGCATATTTCTTCAGTAACAACCAGGGTATTTATTTTTTAGTTTTGCTAGCTTGCAGATTGCAGATCGCAGATTGTGGCAAATATTTTTGTCAATGTTGCATAATTTGTTTCTGTCTGTCTTTGTTTTAAAATATAAATTAAAATGTAATAATCTTAGGAAAAGAAATAGACAAGCAAAGTACATTCTTTAAATCTAAAAAATTAAAACATTTGACAATTTTTTAAATATTTTGATATCATATTTAATTATATATTTAAATTTTAACTTTCTGAAGTTGATTTCAGTCAAATGAGACTGTAGTGTGTCAAGCGACGCAAAAAAAACTTAATTACATTATTAATGTAAAAAGTGTTTAATTCTGATTATTTTCATTCTCCTGCTGCTGTAATAGAAATGCGCAAGTCACTTTAGTATGGAAACCACAGTTTTAAATAATCTGTTTTTTAGGAGAGAAACTGGGACATCGAATTTAAACTTTAACAGTTTTTAATGATACAGTTATAAATCAAACATTCCACTCTAGAACTGGAAAGTAAACTGAATTTATGGCTCCTGTCCCTTTATGCAAATTGACAACAAAGACACAGACTAAATCAGAGGCGTATTCAGTTGGGGGGGGGGGGGGCTATGGGGACTGAGCCCCCCCCCTGGAAAGAGAAATAAATGTAAGCCCCCCCCCTGGACAAATTCTTGAATACGCTCCTGGATTAAATGGAATATAAATTCGAATAAACCTTTTTTATTAGGAATCCTTGGCTAGAGAACAAATGTTGGAAACTAAACTGTTAAACCTGCAAAAAATTGTAAATGACACGGAGGTAACATCATTTTTACAGGACAGTTATTGACTAGTTTCTTCAAAAGTTGTGTGTGCATATTTCAATCAACCTTATATAGGAAAATCCGCAAATTTTTTAGGTTTTATTTTCTATGAAAAGTGGAAATACACATTTTATCTTTTTTTTAAAATACTTCATGAACGCTTTTTTAGATTTCTACATTGGGTTCAATTTTCTGGTGAATTTTTGTAGTAATATTAATTTTGATATCACTATTAATTTAGTAATATAAATGTCCAAAGATTGCTTTGCTTGTATTATTATGCAATATTTGTTAATCTGTTTAAAGATTACATAATCAACAATACGGGCTTAATCAACTTGTAGTTATGAAATCATTATGATTATGAAAAATAGTAAAGGTGGTTTTTTTAATGTTATTTTTTTATTTCTAAAGTAATTGAAACCAGAGACCGAATTTAAAGAATTTGAGCGGCGGCTTTAATTTAAGCTGCGGCCCAAATATGGTTGGTTTCACTTAAACTTGTATTCAATGTTTCAATATTTAAGCCGGCGCTCAATTGAAACCGGTTTTTGGCGGATTTAAGACGCGGCTCAAATTCATTAAATTCGGACACAGATCAAAAGAAAAAAGTTATTTCTTCCTGGAAATTAACAATTAATTAAATAATAATTTATTTAAAATTTTTAAGTAAAAAGAAAATTAATGCTGTTTTTTCCGTTTTGTTGAAATTTGGTTATGGTTTTAAGATTTTTTTTATTGAATTAAGGTTTTAAATTGTTTTCATAGATTTATTAAAGAATGGAAAGATTTTACATTTATCTGAATTTTTGAATTATCTTATTTATCTTAAATATTTTAAACATTTTGTTAGATTTGATTATGTTCTGATTAAATGATACTGTTTAGAACGCCAGTAAAAGCGGATGGAGAGCACTGATGGACGAGGATAGGTTATTAACAAGGTACATTGTCATGTTACTCGAGTTCTTCTTCAATATATACTATTTGATTTTCTAACCGTTTACCCATAATGTCATACTATCAAAATATCGTTTAAAAACGCCTAGCTGCATATTTGAATATCAGGTATAATTATGAATTTACAGGAAATACGTACCTAGACTCCCCCCCCCCCTTTACATAACAGTAACTTTTGTGAATGTGTAGCAATTCTCTTTAATTAATTTAAGTGTGTAAACATCTACGCTCATGGGAGGGGTTCTCGTATCAATTATGTCCCAATTATCATTTTTTATTGTTTTTAACAATTTTTATTTTAAAAAGGTTTTTATAAAAGATAATTAAAAACTTATACTATATTATTTTTATAGTATAACAGTATTCCAATTCTATTCATTTGTTTTCTGCTAATCTCTGCTTCTTTTTAATTCTGTCTGATATTTCTGGTTTGTTGCAAGGAAGTTTAACATCCCAGCTGCTCACACAGAACCCATCAACAATAATAATAATGAAATAGTAATCCTTGTTAGTTTTCTAGAATTTGCTATCTCAGCAGGTTTGTAGATTGTTGAATGTTGATGACATTACTAAAATTAGATCTATACACAATAATTGTTTCCCATCTCTGTTAAAGGGTGAGGAAATAAAAAAAAAACGCTGCACCAAGCATGGAGTTTTGAAAATTTGAAGGACCCAATGTCAGAATCTCCTCTTATAAATAATGACATTTGTGATAAAAGGAGTTTTGGCTAGGAGTAGTTTATCAACAGTTGGAGTCTTATAAGAACATCTTGGGCAGTACTTTTAAATTATACTTGTACTTGATGCTTCTCCACATTAGGAAGATCCGTGGTTGATGGATATTAACACGTTTCCCATTGGTTGTTGGTTTTATTTAAAAACTGGTAAATCAGACCTGTTTCTATGGAGTGCAAGTTGAGCTTTTCCATAGCAAGCCTAGACCCAGAGAGGTTAAAAACCTCTATTCTCCAGGGTAATACAGCGTTGACAGATGAATGCAGGCATTCCTTGTTGATTATCTTGTTTTCCTCGTCAATTCCTTTTGCTTCAATAATATTTTTTCGAGACTTATGCGGGCTTTTACGCTTTCTGGCCCTTTAATCCGTCAGACAAAATAATTTTTGAATTTGTTGTTTAAAAGTTTGTCGTTTAGAGTTGAGATTCTGGAGAGTCAGCTGAGCACCTACGGGAAGAGTATGGGTGAGGATAAGCTCCGGGAGGAGACCAAGAAGCTGATGGAGGATAAGGAGGCGTATCAGCTGGCAGCTAAACTCAATATTAAAAAACTAGGCAACCATATTTTTACCATACAGCAAGGAGCAATTTCGTTCTGATCTGGATTTACTATTTACAATAAAGTTAATTTGAGAAATTGTGAAAACCAGATCAAAGGGTCGCTATGTGTCTGACAACTTAAACCAAAAACTTAAATGGGACCGAATTAAACTAGAAAAAAATGTTAAAAAAACTTCATTACATTGTTGCAAAGCGGTGTTTCAGATTTATCTCCTTAGACTGGACTGTAAAGTACAGTGTAGAAGTAGTTCTAATTAACTCTTTATTTAAAGATACGCCTTAAATAAAAATGAAGAGAAGGGAGTCTCAAAAACAGAATAAATTCTAACTTTGTATTTGTTAAAATATGGTTCTTGTGTTCAGTTGATGATAGACTCGAGTGTGTGAACAAAATGAAGATTTCAGAAACAAGCTTAATCAATTTAGAAGCAGAGTTCAAATCCATGAAATCTTTGTACAATAATATACTAGGAAAACATCACATTCAACTGTAATATTTTTTTCCAATATTTGATCAAACTTTTGACACTATTGAATCCCTGATATTTACATTACAACACCCTGAAACCAGGGTCGAAATGTTTGAATGCAACAGGGAAACCATCTAATTGATTGCAAATTTTGGCTGCCACGAATTTGCGGGTTTACAACTCCGAAAACGTGAATTAGATTTAATTTCCGAACGCAAAAATATGTATTACAAAATTAACTTGATATATTTATCAAGTTTTAAAACTTGAAAACGTTGATTTTTTAGATGTTTTGTTTTATTTAAAAATCGAAAAATCAGCATGGGTTAAAAGTTGAAAAAATTACATAACAAGGATCCTGAAGAGATAAATAGTTAAAAACTAAAATTTTTAATTGATTCCTTAATGTTGAGAAGGTGAAGGCAAAGGCAATATTTCAACTCAAGTTTTTTTTTATAAAAAAAAATATTGAAACAAAATTGATATGTAAGAAGTAATTTTCACAAAAATGTACTATCAAACAGTTTTCCCTTTATAACCAAGTCCACCTCAAGTCAGCATGAGAACTCTAAGACCCTTGGGATTTGACTGAAGGAAAGATTAGACTCATTCCGCGACTAAAATAGGTCTCCAGTCATGAAATTTAATGGGATACATTTTTCATAGATTTTATTCTACTTTAAAACAACAACAGAACTATGTCAGGTCAAACTTTTATGGTTAAAATTGAGACTAAGAAATGTATACTCGAGACTAAGCTCTCGTCTTGAATGTTTTATCCTGCAGAAGAGAATAAGAAGCTGACTGAGAGAATCAGCTTGCTGCAGGAGGAGGTCAACAATAGAGCCAAGAAGGAAGAGGAGGAGGAGGAGGAGTCAAATAAAGATTTATATATTGAAAATGCCATATCAGAATTGATTATAGAGGTAATTAATTAATTTGGGTTTCGGGTCTCAAATGGTCGAGTATGTGGTGGTATGGTTGAGTTGAGTTTCGAGTTGAAATTGAGTTGGCATTGAGTTAGAATTGAGTTGGAATTGAGTTGGAATTAAGTTAGAATTGAACTGATAATGAGTTGGAATTAAGTAGAAATTGAGCAGGAATTAATTTTGGACTTATTTTAGAATTGAATTTTACTTGATTTGATTTGATTTGTTTGATTTGATTTGATTTGATTTGATTTGATTTGATTTGATTTAGAATGGGAGTACACTATTGAACGGAGGACGGGGGGAGAAGAATGATGGTTCCCGGGAAGAAGAAGAAGAAGATGAGTTTAATCTAACAGACAGAATGATTTCATCAACTGACTCATTAGACGGTAAGGCATGGACGAGTTTAATCTAACTCATGACATGCTTGACATGCTTAACATGCTTGACCTACTTGACATGCTTGACAAGCTTGACAAGCTTGACATGCTTGACATGCTTGACATGCTTGACATGCTTGACATGCTTGACATGCTTAAAAAGATAAATCTGAATATTTAAGGATCTAAACCTGATGGTGAGGATGAGGACCATGATATCCTCCAGGGGGAGAACAGCCTCCTGATTTCCTCCCTAGACGTGTCCGGCCTTAACGAGGCCAACAGACTTAGAGGACTTGTAGAGGATCTTGTCAGGTATGATATTGGAAATTTTTTGTTTTATTTTTTTCGCTTATGAACCACTCAAAAATCAGGAAATTTTATAATCTCTCTTTTTTCAATAGTTCAGAATCGGTTTTAGAGAGTAAACAAGTTTTTTTTTGTTGCAGTTTTCGGTTAATATTTTGTCATGTGGATCCGCATATTTTTTCGGATTCGGATCCAGGGAACCAAAATCTTGCGGATCCGACGAACCAAAATCTTGCGGATCCAACGGATCCTATCCTAAGCACTGAAAGATGCCGTTGTGAACCTGTCATGTAACTCTTTGATTGGAGGGTCACTTGACATTTAGTTTCAAGTCCTTTAAACCCTGTTCATGTTCCAGGACTCGGGAGAGGAATGAGACTGAGATAAGTTCCCTAAAAGACGCTTTGAGAGAAGCCAGAACAGATAATTCAGTTGTTCTTCAGGTATACAATATTCCTTAACTTTCAGTTGTTCTTCAGGTATACAATATTCCTTAACTCAGTTGTTCTTCAGGTATACAATATTCCTTAACTATCAGTTAGGGCCAGACTTCAAGTTCATAAACACGAGATTTAGTTGAACCACTTCAATTTGAACCTCTCGCGTTCTAGAATGTTACATAGTTTAACTTCTAGCTTTTTTGTTATTCTAGCGTAGACTCAAATTGGCAGATTTTTATCGCCAAATTGGAAGGTTTTTTCTCCGAACTTGGCAAACTACCCCTCAAGATTAGTATGTATAATTGGTAATTAATTGACCTTTATAGATAGATTTTTAAAAAAATAAGTCAGAAGGTCAGATAGCTAGATAAAATTGGTTTTTTAGATACAATCATGTCTTACGTGAGTGGAATTGAGGTGGAGGGGGGGGAGTAAAAATAAGAATTAGCACTAAAAAGAAGTAACGAAAAAACTTAACTTAGATGTTTTGAAAAGCCATGATTTTTGTACCTTTCCATCTCAGAATTGCTGCTGCTGTTATGTAGAAAAAGGCTTTACCGAGTTTCTCCGCCATCGGAGACAAAATCCACAGTAAGCTTCTCCGCTCTCGGAGTAAATCCACAGTAAGCTTCTCCGCTCTCGGAGTAAAAGGAATCTGTAAGTTTTTCCGCTGTCCGAATTGAAACTTCTCCATCTTCTCCGGTCTCTAATTGATATATTTTCAGGATTTAAACAACACGAAGAACAAGCTGGAGGATGCAGAGAGGTTAATAGAGACCCAGGACAGCCTCGTTAGGGAGATGGAGGTCAGAGTACAGGTGCGCGAATCAATCAATTGATTATCAATCAATCAATTAATCAATAAATCAATTAGTCAACCATTAAACCAACCAACCAATCAATAGGGAACATTTTTATTTAACCAGTTGATATAGAATAGAAATTGAATTGTTTAGTCTTTTAGTTTCATGTTTAACCTTAAAAGGACAGGCGTTAAGGCTTAAAAAATATCCCCCCCCCCCCTTCCTGAACGTAAAAATATTCCTGGAAATATGTTATAACATTTTTTTGTGTGTATTAGGAGAATTCAAACAGAGAGGGTGGAGGAGGGCGGGATTCTGATTTAGTTGAACTAAATCTCAAGATTTCAAACCTAGAAGAAGAAAACTATTTATTAAAGGTAACTAGGATAAATATTTATGAAGGGGGGGGGGGTCAATTAACCGTAATCAGTTAACAAACACTAACCATTATTTTGCAAAATTTGCAGCAAGCAGAAAAGATATTCAAAAATTAATTTGTGATCTTGTGGAGTTGATTTTTAATCTGTTCAAATGGCTACAGCCTATAACTTATTGATAAAATCTCCAAAGAAGACTGATTTAGAATCGCTTCGGATTAATTCCGTTTGTTTAAAAGCTCCCAGCTTAAGTTAGCATAGAAAATACAATTTGATCAAAAACTATGATCAAACAACAACACAGTTTTTATGAAAAAATACCAAGGAATATTTGTTTTAGGAAAAGCTTCGAGATAATGAGATAAAAGACGGTGATGCCTATGTAAGCTTTTTTCAATTTTATTTAATAAGTTGTTATTTTTACTAATTTGGACAATTCCTTTGTTTAACTGTTAAAATTTCTAATTTCAATATTTGTACAAGGCATCTTGTGTTCCGATGTATTCCAGTTCTGGGACTCTTGAGTCTTATGTCCTTGGGGGAAACCACGTGGAAACCTTAAAGCCCGCGAAAAACCGCGCTGAACAAGAAAATCCGCGAGAAGAATCTAGATTTTTAAATACTCCTCGACTTAGTGCTAGTGAGACAAATACAGATACAATAAAGCCTTCCAGCGCTAAATTTAATGACAGTGCACATGAAGAGTTGAGTCCGTTGGACTCGAGTGATAGTGCGCTTAATATTTCCTGTAGCTCTTGTGGAGACTTGAGCGCGGTTGAGTGCGCACTTGCCGCTGCTGAAGAGAAAATTGCTAAACTACTCAGAGCTAAAGAAAAATTAATTTCTATTCAGGTATTTTTATGCTAAATGTGGGGGGAGGGAAGGGTTCTAGAAACTAGGTTTTTTTTGAAAGCTTAGGGCCGCGAGTAATATTGATACAAAAATGATAATTTTATAAAATATTGCCTTTTTTTTCCAAATATCTGCCTTCAAAGTGCAATTTAATTTCAAATACTTTTCATTTTTATTAGTGGATTTCTTAAATAAAACAAAAACCACATTTTCTTTTTCCAACAGACTGGTAATTCAACAAAATTGGGCTAAATCGATTCAGACGTGTTGTCGTTTTTTGGACAAATTTACACACGGACCGATTTCAGGCGGAGAAGAGTGAGCTTGAGGTTGAGGTTAATGACCTCCATGAGGATATTCAAGCTCTAGCTGTAACCTCCAGAACTCTAACACTTTGTAATATTCTACCTTTAATAGGTAAACTTTTTTTCTGTAAACATTCTAGGGCTTTTAATGAATTTGAGCTACGTCGCTAACTACCTCCTGTCGGTTTAAATTTGAACCACCGATTCAAAGTTTAAGAATAACGAAGGATTTTAATCGGGTTTTCACATTTGAGTAGTTCAAATTCATTAAATTTTGCATTATTAAATATCGAAGGATTTTAATCGGGTTTTAAGACTTGAGGTAGTTCAAATTCATTGAACTCTTCATTATTAAACTTTGTTTTGTCTTATTAGATTAATAAGGACATCATAGAAATGTCAAAATCTATTCAGGTTATCTGAATTTTTTTAACTTCTAGATTTCAAGATATTTTAAATATATGTTTTGATTTTTAGCTCTGCTTCTGTCCGTGGTTGTTGCCTTTCTACCCTCCATATCATCCATTCTTGGAACTAAGGACAAGTTGTAACAGTTGCAACATCCCCCATACCTAAATATACCTACACAACCAGGAGTGTTATTGCAACCTCCCTAAATATACCTACACAACCATATTTATGCGTATGTCGCAATAGCCATGTTTAAGTTACAGCTTAGCCAACTAGCTTGATAGTGAAACTTGAATTTATTAATCAACTTCCTTGCCACATTCCCAACTTAAAGGGACTGTATGCGTAAATCAAAGTAGTCCTCGATTTTAAAAAGTGAATGTCCGACTGTCAACGGTACCGGTTGGTTGAACCACCGTCTATGTTAGCATTGAACAATTTTGAGATAGACACACGGCGGTATCGTCTTCATTATCGTTCGTTGTGAATTGGAAATGTCACTCTTAGAATTAAGGGTCACTTGAATTTTCGTCTGCAGTCCCTTTAGTATTTAAATTTGACTTTATCCCATTGTTCATCATCATTATCCATGTATTCAAATATGTAATATTTTTCTAAATGTAAAACAAGAAGAAAATATTGAGTTTATTCGGATTAGCGTGTACGTCCTTTTAATTGTACAGTACAGTACAGTACAGTACAGTACAGTACAGTAATTTTTAATTGTAATGCAGTCGTGTTTTGGTTTAGATACACTTTATAAGTAAGACAAACTAGTTTTTTTTTAATGATCAGTGATCACCCTTCATCATCGTTTTACAATTGTCAAAATAGTAAGAATTTAATTATCAATCATTAAACTATCAAAGTTAAAATTAACCTTTTTTTGTAACATTTAATTATCGTCTATCATTAAGCATGGCAGGGATTTTACACTTAAAGAGCATGGCAGCGTAATGTTTAAGTGACCCTCCATGTAAAGATAACAATGCCCGATTCACAACGGTTTCCTTAAAATTTTTCTGTGACCAAGTATTAAAATTATATCAATGTTTATAATTTTTAAAACAGTTTATTTTCAAGTGTGGTTTTTTTACTAAAGTTATTTCTGCAGAAAAATTTATATCAATAATCAGAATTAAACACTTGTAATCCTAGTGAATCGGCAATTGCCATCTTTGCATGGAGGGTCACTTACGCTTAAAGATACCATTGATTAATTTCAGTTAATGAAATTTCACGTGACCCTCTAGGTTGGCCGTTGCCATATAATTATTTAATATTTAACTTGAAAGTTAATTTTCTATGCAAACTGTATTTTTGGCCTAACAAACTTTTTATATAGTATTTATGTGTTTTCGCTTAGAACAGAAAGATCCATAAAACTTTGGAATAGGAAGACGACTTAAAAGTTCTGATTTAAAAGTCAGATAAACACGACTCACAGTTATGTTGCAGTGTATAAAACCTAACCCCATTTATTAAGTTGATTTTCACACTATTTGCTTTAAAACAACGTCCAAAAAAGATATGATGGCTTGAATGTCGTCTTCCTATTCCACAATGTTATGGTTTCTCTGAATAGGAAAATGGAAAACCTATAAACGAAATAATTTTCACAACATGTAAACGGACATGGCAAATTGTAGAGATAGAAGATCAACTAAACTTGTAAACTTCATTGTCAATACATCCATGGAAAATACCTCGATTTTATAAAATTTCAAAATTCACACAGAAAACTTATCAGAAAACGTTTTTTTCTAGAATTTGATATGAAAAATTAACGTTAAAGTGTATTATTATCAGCTCGTAGATCGGTTATTTTTTGGGGAGGTCCTCGTGTATGCTTAGTGCTCCCCCCCCCCATTAGAATTCGTTTTCTACATAATCATTCCCCAGTACAGTACAGTACAGTACAGTACAGTACAGTACATTACAGTACAGTAAGGCTTAAAGAATATCCCTTTTTATTAAGTGGCATGTCCTATTCACAATGGTATCTTAAAAAGTTTGACTGATCCTGAAAATTCAAATTAAACGTGTAGTTTTTTTAAATTAGCACATGTATAAGTGACAATAGCTCCTTCATCGTTGTGAATGGTACACATGCCACCATTTTAAATGGGGCTTCCCTTTATATATTTATTGACATCAATAACATACTATTCACTTTATGTCGCAATCTTGTGAAGTTGTTGGACTGTGGTATACAGAAACCAAATCATATTTTTTAACTTTGTCTGTGAATAATCAAGCCGTGGAAAAAATAAGTTAATATGATGTGCTATACAAAATTATGTTGTCAACAATTGTACTCCTGTACAGTGTACACTATACACTGCATGTACAGGACATCCCCGCCATATTTGAAATTGTATTGTTCCAGTGAAAATGTCATCTTTTTAATTTTGTAAATTCATTTAAGAATAGTGTGCATGGTGCGAAAAATGTATCTAATTCTTTTTTCCTTAATGAACTTTTTTCCCAAATGGCATTCTCCATTAAAAATAAAACTCATTTTATTTGTAAAATTCTTTTTAAAACATGTGATAGTAGAAGTAACTTATTAAAACAACTATTTTATCCTTATAATAATAATATTGAAAATAGTCGAACTGAAATAAATTATTAAAATCACGAACAAACTTCTCTCAAATAAACTCATGTAAAGGTTTCAATCTAATTTAAGATTCGGTGATGGTGATAGACCAAACCTCTGTAGAGTAAAAAAGTAGATGTTAGTTCCACATTTATTGAAAATATATTTCGGTCTGGGTTGACCCTCGTCAGTTTTAACGAAAATCGAAAAATAAAATTGTTAAAATCACAAGAAAATAAACAAACAAAAAAGATTATTCAAAATAAAAATCTGGGCTGTCAAATGGACATAAGGGAAACGTACTCGGATTGTGGATTGGAAAAAAGATAATTTGCAAATATTCACTTTAAAAAAAATATTTTAAGACAATTATTATTCCTTGAGATTGTTTCTGTTTTAATAATATATATTCCCATGGTAAATATATAAATGTCTCGAGAGGGTCTGGATTTAATGAATCACGGGGCATGGTTGAACTGCGTAGGCATAGTTCAGCTTCTTCTCTCTATTAACTAAATCTGGTCCCCAGTGTCCTGCGTGGAGACTGAAGAGCCTACCCTTGCGTAAGGAGCAAATGTAAGACACAAATCACAGAGTAGATATTGATAGAGGTTCAGTGTCCTGCGTGGAGACTGGAGAGCCTACCCATGCTTAAAGAGCAAATGTAAGACACAAATCACAGAGTAGATATTGATAGAGGTTCAGTGTACTGAGTGCAGTTGGCAAGCTGGGCAGAAAGGTACCATTTTAGAAATATTGAGGTTGTTTGTGTACGTAATCTTTAAAAACAAGTTATTCCAGTGCTTCGTTTTTTTACTTTAATATTTGTTATTTACAATTTAGGGGAAAAATAGCTATCTTTCTCTCAGATTAATATTATAAGTTATTATAATATTATTAATATAAGTCACGTGAAACCCCGCTTACAGTCCCTTTAAAGAGACTGTAAAGGAAAAATGAAAGGGGGTATAGGCTGAAAGCTAATCACTTTTGCTCTCGATCGCGACCCATGAAAGTTATATCTGATGTTCCTATCTCGAGAAACTGATATACAACTTTGTCAAATTTAAACAAAAATTAATATATTTACCATTTTGTATAAAAGTAGTGGGTTTAAAAAGATAAAATTCAGCAAATAAGCAACCAATCTGAAAACGATGATATCCCAGAGAAAGCTAATTGTAACCTAGATTCTAATTTTATATTTGTTATTTCTATTTTCTATAGATTTAATTCATAGTATTATTTATAAGTCCGTATTGCTTGACCAGAAATTCCACCAATGGCAGTGTAGTAAAGTGGTCACGTGATACAGGCGGAGACACGTGACCAGTATACGGCTCTGCCATTGGTGATAGTTCTGGTCACTTGATTTAAGTTTAAGATTTTCTAAATTTTACATATATGAACTTTCGTATACTTTTAACACAGTGTTATATCAATTTCTCGAGACAGGAACACCATTGTCAACCATTAACATTAAGCCCCCCCCCTTCCATGTAATGTCGTCTTCAACCTAAAAGCTCCTCTCGGAGACGAGAAACCAAACCAAACAATTTCAGCCCGCTTCTCTTTGTTCTCCGACAACGGAATATAAACACTTTTATTAATTGTGAACCACTTCAAAGTTAAGCAAAGAATATTTTCATATAAAGAATTAGTGACTTTCCTTAACATTTAATTGTCACTCTTTCAGAAGTTTTAATGTATAAAAAAGCGTCTTAGGACTCCCCGACAGTTTAACCCACAAATACTCAAATAGATCGTAAGAATCTTTTCATTATAAATTCGTAAACCATTGTAATAATTATTTATCATTATTCATTTCATTTTTTTTAGGAAATAAAGAGTTTTCTGCATTATCGATTTTGATTTGAGGGTTATTCCGTTGTCTATCTGTTCATCATCAGAATCTTGTTCCTTTAACCGACAACAACCATATATAACTTTCATGGGTCGCGATCAAGAACTAAAGTGATTAGCTTTCAGCCTATACCCCCTTTCATTTTTCCTTTACAGTCCCTTTAATAGAGGTTTAATTGATGTTTAAATGCTGTTTAAAGAAAGAGATGACACAAATGATCCGATAATCACATAAAGATAGAATTGAGTATCCAAGAATAAGACCAAGGAGCCCGCCGAGTCCATTTATTAATTCCCAGCCATCATACACAAGGCTTTCTTCAGTTATCTATTAAAGAGACCGGCTGAATTAATTTTAAATGGGGCATGCCTAAATCACAATGGTACCCTTGAAACCTTTATTTAATCAATAATGTGAGAGGTAAAGGGTTAATTCTAGCTTGAAATTTGTGAAACACTAAAAATTACTTTGTTTTTTTCTTGCAGCAAAACAACACGAGTCACTTTTATATTAGACAATACTTTTATGGATATCGTTGTGATTTGACATGTCATTCTAAAAATTTGAAATTAAACCATTTTATCATAATTGAACATATAGTATATCTAATGTTGTAAAAATACCTTAACACGACCTGAATAAGATTCAAGAAAAAATTCCGAATACCAGTTTACGGCCCAATTTATCTTCTCTCTTTTAATAGACTTTATAATAATGTTTTCTTTAACACATGGTGAGTAACAACCTACAATTCAAGAGATAAATTAAAACACATTATTTATTGTACAGGGTGTCCCATGGCCCAAGAAACATGACAGTAGCAAGACAACTTAAAAGTCGTCTTTGAACTTTGATTTTTTTGTAACATTAAGACTACGTACTTCATACACTATATGACTGAACCCTGATTGGATGAGGCGCTAATTGACTCGGTATACAGGAGTGCATACATGTACAATTCTTGAAACAATAAATTTGTCTTGCTACTTTCATGTTTCGTGGGACACCCTGTATGTTAAATGGTTAGAATAATTTTGGGTTTTATTTACCTGAACTTTCTGAGATGGTTTTAAACGTCCATTTAGATATGTTGTCCATCAGATCATACAGCTTTTTAATATCTTCTGCACTACCACACAATGGAACATTAACAGAAGCTTCATCAGAAAACCAATCAAGTTTGCATCCTGTCTTTTCAAAAATATACTCAAATACACAGTCTGTAAAGCTGTACTCCTAAAGTAAAATGTTGAGTTTTATTGATTTTAAATTACTTGGCTATCGCGAATGTCTTCTATTTCAACTTTTATTTTTGCTCAAGGTTTCAACACTTTCTCTTCACTAAACCAAAAATAAAACATTTTGTAGAATATAAAATTTGACAAAAATCAAAAGTTTTTGGAAACGAATTTTGTAAATCTGAACATCAACAAACCTTCCTTGGGGTCAAGTTAGTTCCCACGCAAAATGTGGGTCTGGTCGGTTCGGTCGTTTGTACGTTTATTGGATACAAAAAATAAATAGACACCCATGCAAAGTTAGATTATAGATTCCTGATTTAAAACCTTTCCTTGTCTTCAATGCAGTTAAATACTGCTGGGAGACGGGTTTCTATTTCACGCTCAAACTCAACCTAAAATTTAAAATATAAACCTTTAAGACTAAATTGGTCGGTTGCATGCACATTAATCCTAAGTGTTGTGAAAAGTTGCATCAGTTTTTGAGACTGGGCCGACTTTGAAGTGTTGCAAAGGCCTGAGTCTATGAATTTACCTCACTAGCTCACATATATTTTTTAAACTATAAAATAATCGTGTTTGCTTTAGTATTTAGTATTTAAACAAAAATTCGAAAAATTCTTATTGTTTTTAGCGTGAGAGTCAAGGAACCTTTGGATCACTGTGTATAAAAATACTGCTAGTAGTGGCAGAGGCCCAAAGGAGTTTTGCACACATGCCGCGTTGAGTAACAAGTCAGAGAGAGAGCCTGTTCTAGCCGCGGCGCACTGAACTACGTGTGCACACTCACACATACACTTTTGATTTCAAGTTTTAAGGACTTAATTTATGATAACATCATCACTCTATATACTATAACCTCGTTGTAAACAACCTACTACTATTTCTTGCATCTGATTGGTCAATGATTATAGAGATAAAGCTCTCATTTTTTAAATCCTTTGACCATTCATAAGAAATCAACTAAATCTGTTGAACAGAACGAAATTCTAAATATTGACCTTTATATTTTCTCCCCTATTCAGTAGTATTTGCTTTGCTTGTCCAGTTTCCCTTAGTACATCAGAGGCCCAGAAATGCTTAAAAATTTTATCATGTTAATAAAAACTCATTTTATTATAAAAAATTTAAAATTCATTGCTGGGGCTTAGCGCGAGGAACAGTAGTTTTTTTCAATTAACACTGGATTTCCCATGAATTAAATAAAAGTTAGAATCATCATAAATTTACTAATGAGGAACTAATACCTCATTACTATCTAAAACAATAAACATTATGCAATAAAATATATTGTTAACGTTTACATATCATTTACGATTAGGGCTGGGCAAGTTCCAACTTTTTCTAGCTGTTTCCTTAACTGTTAGTTCTAACCGTTAAAAAAAAAATTCAGGTAGCCGTTAATTTTAAAGGTATGGTTAACGACATTTACCATTTTTTTAAACAGCGCGAAGGGGTGGAACAAAATTTTGCTATCGATTAAAAAATCGATAACAGCGCAGCCGTTAAAGGGCTATTTCCAAAAAAATCGTTAATGGTTATAAAATCGTTAAAGGTGCAGCTGTTAATGGTCTTTTGTAGTATAAACAACGTTAACAGATTGTCAAATCGTTAACGGCACTAGCAGTTGAACTATATTTATCCTTTTCTAGATATCCAAATCAACTATATTTATCCTTTTCTGAGGAGAACCCAGATCCTTTCACGACTGGTCAAACTCCAATTTTTTTTTTATCAAAATCCAAAATCTATTCTCTATTCTATGCATTCAAGGTTGTAACACAGACAACATTTAAAATCATCAAAACAGATAATTTTTTATTTTAAGGTTTAATGTAATTTGGAGCAGAAAAAACGATAATTACCATTTACCATTTTTTGTTTTCAAGCTTTAATTTTTTTTACAAAAATGGCTAATCTATTTTGTTAGCAGTTTAAAAATTAACGGTTTTTGCCGTTTGTTAACCAACTCTTCCGTGAATTTTCGAAACCCTCTGTTCCGTTAACGGGACTTTGCCCAGCCTTTTTACATTAAATTATTGTTAATTATAAATCATCGTTAACGACGTAAACGCAACAAATGGTATAATTCATGGACAACAATGAGTAAAAAGACAAAACAAACTTTTTGAAACAGAAGATTTTGACAGGAACAAATAATCCAGATCAAGACCTTTGTTTAGAAACGTCAAACAAACGATGTCAAATATTAAGAACTTGCAATAAATGCACTATTACCTTAGAGGAATGTAAATAGACATGATATCCATAAACCTCATAGACACTTTGGTTCAGTGTTTTGTTTCCCAAGAACCCATATAAGTGCCCAGGATGGTTAGGCAGATATGTTTCATTTGGAGAATAGGTGTGGCAATGGCCTGCATCCCAAGGTTTAAAGTGAAATATCCTTCTGTTCCATAAACTGTCAAATGCAGACCTAGCGATATATTCTGGTGCCTGCTGGTTTGGTAATTCCCCGTTGCATTTTTCATCACAATAGCCCCATGCACCTTTACCCAGTGCTTAGGATCTAGGTCTAGTTTATTATTTGAAAAAAATATGGTTTAGATGGAAATAAAACTACAAATAGAATTTAGAATTTTATTAAATTGCAGGGGAAATAGCACTTGAGGAATCAAAATCAGTATTTAAAATGTAAGGACTCAAATATTTATTTTATCTGTCACAGAAGAAATTAATAATAATTTATCCAAAGCACTGCCTAGTGCCTATAACTGATGATTTGTTATCATAGACGTGGACAGCACACCAAGGCTTGGTGTCATCAGTCAATGTGCAACTGTTCAAAGTTTGCATTTCTTGAGCATCAAATGAATGACATAATCCACTTCTTCCTGGATAATTTGGATCCGCCAGTGCACAATCATAAATTTTAAAAGGGAAACTACAAGGTCCAGTATAAGTATGAGAATTCACAGTATCGCATGGGAACTTTCTTGATTCACTCCTGTGCTGAATGAAATTAAAAACCTGATCTCTTGTTTGAGTATTTTCAATTGCCCACTTTTTCAAAGCCTCCGCCGACACATTTTTCCATTTATTTACTTGATCTATGATGGTCATACTTGTGTCTTTGAATGTGTAAAGTTGGCAAAATGTAATTGCAGGAAATTCCACTTTTTCAAAATCAGCAACAGAACTGAAAGCAGTTGGGAATTTAATCAACAAATTTTACTACAGGGTGTCCCAAAAAACATGAGAATTCAGTGACGAATTCGATATCGTCATTGTTATGAATTAGCATTGTAATACCTAATTTAAAACCCATAATATTATTATATCTGCTAGAGTTTATTTTATGAAAACGGTAAATGGCTGTAAAGATGTGTCTGTAATGTCTCCACAAGATGAACAGTGAACTCTGTTTGTATACTGCAATTTTCTTGTTTTACTAAGTACAACCGGATGCAGTCAAAACATAAACAAACAAAATGTAAACATAGCAGACGAAACTCTTACAGATTACAGCTTTTTCAGTAGGTATCACTATACTAAATCAAAGAATTATTTGAAAAAAAAACGATATCGAATTCGTCACTGAATTCCCATGTTTTTTGGGACACCCTGTACATAAAGTTGCCTATTACAGTCTACAGCAAATTTTTTGGAATTCATCAACTAGTCATATTTGTCCACTTAACCCTATTTCTGCTGAGGTACTTGAAAACCAGGATATGCTGGGGGGGGGGTCAATTTATTTTTTTTTGTAAAAACACATACCTTATCACTATAGTTTTTTTTGCTAAATATTTTTCAACAGATGTTCTTCCCATAAACAGATACAGTATAACAAGGCCTACTAGGATTCCTGTTCGAACAAACTGCTGAGCTCTCATGGCTTCTGCAATATTAAGCAGGGCAGGACCGTAACACGGTGTTTATTAAAGGGGGGAGGGGTAGATTGGAAAAGTACACAGAAATTTTGAAATTTTAGCTAGATTTGTATGTTTCCTATAAAAGAACATTTTTATAATTTAGTATTGGAACTGGTCAATTTATCTAAATGTTGTCATATACCTAAGAACTTTTTGTTATTAAACATAGTCATTAAACTTGAATTTTAAAATATCTGTAGCTATTGGCTGAATTTTTAAAGTAACTCATGGGTACCCAGGGGGTGGGGACAAAGGCTTTTGTGATTTCATTTTAAAAATTAAATTTCTTTAAATTCAAAATTTCTTTTTCTCTAGTGTTTTTGAAAATTAGTAACGTTGGGCATTTCAGCTAGTTGATTAATATAAGAGGTATTACAAAAATCCCCCAAAATAATCAGTAAAATCTGCATCAAATGTTACCAAATCCTACATATGTTATTTAACCTAAAATGGAGAATTTGTAAATAGTAAATACATCTATAATTTGTGTCTGTAGTTTTGTGGATTTAAAAAAATAGATTTCAGCCTAAACCATGAACCCTGCAAAATATTTTCATAAAAATCCTGACCACCCGGTTGCCCTCCTCCCCCCCGATATGGTCCTGTTTGCATTAATAATATCCGAGTGTTGCTAGAACTTCAATGGTTCGGAAAGAATTAAAGAAAATATGTTGTTATGAGGTCCAGCCTCTGGTTAATAAGTAAAAACAACTATATATATATAATAAGGGTGAGCCAGGGAGCGGCCACTCACCCCTGAAGCTAAATTGCTCACCCATAGGCTGAAATTATAGGGTTGAGAGAAAATTTTAAAATTCCAAAGTGATAAATAAGAACATAAGTTCTGAAAAATCGCTGTAGTGATTTTAATGGAGAAAGTAATCTTTTTTACATATTTATTCTTACTTATAAAGTAAAGGCAAATATTTTTGTAGTGTTCTAAATATACAAAAATAAATTTTTTTTTCAGTCACTCTATAGGGTAAACCTTTATTGAAAACCTGGGACTTTTTAAATGTCTAGGATTGTTAAACTAAATAAAATCTGTGCAGTCTTCTCTGAAGTTTCTTCCTTTTCAGAATTCAGAGATATATAGAATAGAAAAAAAACATTTTCTACTTTTCTAGTGTAAACTGTAGAAACAAATCTTTTCATTTTTGTGCAATATGAATCAAGATTTATGCCTTCCCCTGCTTCCCCCTATGGGTGAGCAAAAAATTTGTAGGGATGAGCAATAAATATAAATTTGGAACTTTGCTCATCCCGGATAAATTCCTGTATCTAACCTTGGAAATTGGCGCCACAAAAATTATTCACCCTGGTGCAAAGTAGTAAATAGTTTTTAATAAAGGAGGGCAGCGCTGCAAAATGAGAAAGTAATGAATAAGTTCAGAAAGAAATCCTAAATGGGGTATTCTTTGTTCAAATTTGGCCTGATACTAATTGGTTGTTCTTCTGAAAGTAGGTTTGTTCATCCGATGTAGGACAGAATTATGTTTTTGACAATGGGGGATAAGATGAGCAAATAAGATTCTAAAATCTTTATTTTTTAGGGTTGATATTTATATGACCAGAGCTGAAAACTTTAGAATGTGATATCCTTAATCCCGATCTGTTAATTAATCTGGAGATTAAATTCCTGAGGAGAACAAGCCATATGTAATCTGGAGATTAAGAAAAAGAGTGGATTAACGATATCCACCATTCTAAAGTTCCCAGCTCAGAGCTGAAAACTTTAGAATGAGATATCCTTAATCCTGATTGCTTAATCTGAGTATCCAATGTACACACTTTTGATTTTATTCTTAATCCTCTTTTTTGGATATCCCTACTGTATAAAAGTTACGTTTGATCAAGGGTGTAATGTAAGGAAAGTTATTTCAGTGGCGTACGAATTTTTGTACTGCAGTGTACTGTCTTTGGGCTCTAATGTAAACACAAGAGTAGGGGTGCCACAGCCTGACATGGGATCCATCTTTTAAATAAAAAATCAATGAAATATTCTGGTCATTGGAATTTATAACATAAATGCATGTTTTAATTATTTAACAATGAGACCCAATAAACATACAAGTTGGATCAATGTTTTCACCCGTCTGAAAACTTGCTCTGAAATATTCTAGTTTTAATCATCTCCTATAACTCAATAACCCATGCCGACGAGTTTTAAAACCAACTCTGGAAAATTCTAGTTCTTAAATTATTTCCTATTAAACAATCTTCGATAAAATTATAATTAGGTTTTCAATGGTCCAAATAATCTAGATATTGGATTTTTATTGTAAATTGTGTATTTAATAATAAATATTGGTAACCGATGTTCTGATCATTACTTGAAAAATATAATAATATTACTATAGTGAATGCTTAATGGCTATGTCCGATCCAAGCTTTAAACTTTGTTAACACAACATTTCCTTTTTATTTTTTAATAAGTTTTGGCCAAAAATACAGATAAAGTTAACGAAACGACCGTTTTAAAAATGACAATTTTTACAAAATAAACTTTTTAAAAAAACGATCGTTTTTAAAAACGATTGTTTCGTTTTCGATTTTTCGTCGTCGTTTTCATAACGAAACGATCGTTTTTCTGAAAAATGAAAACGTTAACATCCCTAGGTACAGCGTGTTGGGAAGCAAAGAATTCAGGGTTCATCACGTTTATAAACTATGCAAGGTGGGATTACAGAGTCAAGGATTCGGGATTAGGGAATAAGGATTAATGACTTGGGAATTAGGACTAGGGAATAAGGATTAATGACTGGGAATAAGAATTAGGGATCCGAGAATAAAGGTTAGGAATTTGGCACCCGGAAAAATAGCGAGGATAATTTGAACATCAAGAATTTTGTCTAGCCCTCCTATGACTATTTAAATTTCTATTATTGTGAAATAATTTTTCTTCTTCTGAATATACATGAATTCAGGCCTCGAGAACTAAATGATACCGTAATAACACTTGCATACAAGTGTGGACATAGTTTGGGCTCAAAACACGAGGAGGAGGTAAAAAGTTAAAAAAAGTTTTAAGATCTTGTAAATTCAAGTGACTTTTCAATGGAAGAGTGTCAAGCCCGATTCCCAACGGTACCTAATTCAGACTTTCGTATAAGATAAAGAATGTATAAGACATCCTGCCTTTTTTAAAGGGACTGTTTTTAATCGAACATACCACTGTATACAGTCCCTTAAATCATTGATTGTTTATTAAGAGGATGAAGATTGAGACGACAACTTTATAATGTCGTCTTTTCTCAACCAAACTACGCCAGACGAGTTTAGTAATTGTACTATCAGGTAAAAAAATTAAACACTTGAATTGGAATTAGGTTTTTTAGCTTCAAACTTGTGATCAATATTTGTTAAATATGATTATTGTTAGTTAAGTATCAGTGACGTCATATGAGAATTTAGAGTGTCCATTGCAAGAAAGACGACATTTACCTACATTGGAGCATATCCAGAATATCTAATCTTATATAGCGATGGGCTATAGCTAGAATCGTTTTTTAGAAACTTTTAGTATTTTTAGACTTAAAAAAGGTTTTACAACATTATGAGAAGGGTAAAAATTTAAAATTGTATCCAGCAGAAGTTTGCTTTTATCAAACCAAAAACTATCGTTTTAAAAACCCAAAAACGATTGTTTTAAAACGAACGTTTTTGCCTTAAATTTTCTTCTAGGGTAACAAATTTTCATATTTGACAAAAGCAAACTTTTACAGAAGAAAGTATTAAAATCTTAAAACCTTCTCATAATGTCGTAAAACCTTAAGTTTAAAAATATTAAAAGTTTCTGTAAAACGAATCTTACTATTCCCATCCCACTTTATATATAACCACAACCAAACATTCTCCGTGTTTAGATCAATACAGGAGAAGTTGACTGAGGTTTTGAACTCTGAAAGGAATTGTATCCAGGAACCTAGGAATACAGAGGTGGATATTGCTGTCTGTGGAAATGGTAAAATTTATTATTTGAAATTACGCCAAGGGGAGGGCAAAGGGGCCGTAAACCCCTAGATTCTTAACGTGAACAGTCCCCTTAAAGGGACTATAAGCGTAATTTTAAGTGAAACTTCATGCAAAGATGGCAAGGCCCAATTCAGAACGGTAAAAAGCTTTATGACTGATTTCTAAAAAATGTGACGGGCATACAGTGAAACCCTTAATAACGAATACATCGGAAGAATTTATCAAATGTCGTCTTTTCTATGAGTTTTATACTATATTACGTAAATTTCAGTATTTGCGAAAATAAATAAATAGATGAATATGCGGGAACAGTTTTAAAGAGTTCCATATAATTATTTAATTAAAAAACTAAATATTTGCAACATTCCATTATCAGAAAGTAAAGAATACGACATTTGATGAATTCTTTCGATGTATTCGTTATTAAGGGTTTTTACTGTACAAAATTCTTTGTGACGTAAAATAAAGGGGCTGTATAACGTAATTTCAAGTGACCAACCATGCGTTGAAATGTATGATTTAATACAAGTACACCGGCAATATGCCAACTAAATATATAACAAAATCAGAGTTTAAAACAAACCCTGTACTGTATGAACCAGGGGCGGACATAAGGATTCTGTAGGGGGGGGGGGGTAAATGTTTTTAATTTAGCGCGCGAAGCGCGGCGAATTTTTTTTTAACCCCCCCTAGAAATTTTTTTACCCCCCTTAGAAATATATCATGATGTATATCAAATTATTGGTTTTAATTGGGTTTGATTTGCATTTTCCACTCATTTCTGGGATTTACAAACTCAATCTAATAAAGGCTTCATTACATACCTTTCAGCTTTCACCTTGTTTTATATCCTTCATTATAGTAATTCATTTTACATTAACTACAAAGACCTGTAAAAAAACTGAATTTATTCAATTTTAACTAAACTTGTTGACAAACATTGACAAAAAAGGCAGTAATATAAAAAATAATAGTTTTACTCTAAGAGAAAAAAAATGTTACTTTTTTAAATCTTTAGAAAAGCTACTCTGCAAAACTTTGAAAAAATATGGTCATTACTCATTGTTAAATTTTCTTGTCGTCAATGTAGTATGTTAAGATCTTAACGAAATCTAATGTGGAAATGACATTATTTATAAGTAAAAATGTTTTTTATTGTCCATACCATTTTTTTTTCTATTAAAAAAAACATCTAATTTTAATGACATTGATTATTACTTTAGAATTTAGAATCATTTAGAATATGTTGACTTACATATGATATGATATCCATGTACAAAAGGAGGGGGAGGGGGGGTGCGGGGGTCCAAAAATCGTATTTTAGGAAATTAACTCATAATATATATATTTTTTATTATGACCAGTTGTGTGTGAGTGAACTTTACTGAAGTACCCGAAGTAAAAGTTTACTGACTGTTTAGGCATCTGCAAAATGCCGCAAAATAGTCGTCTTTACACAAGTGCAGACAAATCAATAGGGAATGTGTTTTTTTTTTGTTTTTTTTTGAAGGGAAGGGGTCAAGGCAACTGGAACTGTTACTTGTAGAGGCAGCAAATGGAGTAACCCCTGCTATTAAGGGCCTGAATATATGTTCAGGGGTAAGTACCCCTAGAATTCTAGGGAGTGGTTTTTACCCCCAGGATTCTAGGGGGGGGGTATTTACCCCGAGGATTCTAGGGGGGTATTTACCCCCAGGATTCTAGTGGGGGGTAAATAACCCCAATAACCCCCCTTATGGCCGCCACTGGTATGAATCGAGGTTTCGTGAGATGATTTGTGTGAGTGCACTATTCTGTGACATAAATGCATGTCGTCTTTCTTTCAAACCATAATTATTTCTTCGAAACCTAGCCATTTTTTAAGTAAATAAACAATCAAAATACTTTAATAAATATTTAAAAGTGTAGAAACATTGCTTTTGATGTCTAAAATTGTGTTGATATGGTGTAAACACTAGGGGGAAATGTCTTAGTGGATTTTCTTTTTTAATTTAATACAAACACTAGTGATGTAATTTTAGCAACTTACTTAATTAGTTGTGTTTATATAAAAATGACATGGCAGGGACACCTAGTTACAAAATCTCTTCTTTTTTTATTTAATGAATTTTCAACTATATTTTTTTTATATACATTATAGGAATGTATAATATAAATAAAATCACAACATGTTATTATATTTTATGTTAAATCTTTGGTATACGTTAAAAGATTACTAGTTGAAGGGCCAAGCGTTGCCTGTGAAAAAAAAGTTAAAAAAATAAAAAATTAATAATTTTGAAAAAAAAATCGATTTTTTAGCCTATATTACACCCCCCGAACACCCATGAGTGTCCACAAAAAATTTCAGCCCCAATTCGGTCCAACCGTTTGGCCGGCTATAGGAAACATATATATAAATGTCTTGTTTTATTATGTAGAATACAGGACAATTTTCAAGGAGCCGAAGAAATGCATTTTCTTTTAAGAAAATGGGCCGAAAATTAACCTTTTTCACTTCTTTCCACTTTAAAGCTTGATCAAAGAATACATTTCCCTTTCTATAAGTGATGGTAGTTTTTTTCTTAGCGGACTATTTATGGGACTTCAAGGATGGCTATAGGGTTATAGCTATTAGTATTGAAATATTCAAAAACTGAATTATCAATTTTTTGATTAGAAAACAAGGATAACTATTATTTTTTCTAAAATGTAAATTTAAATTGTAATGTCATGAATTCATGTAGAATAAGGAATATTGAAATTACATGTTCAATCACTGTAAACATTATTTATTTTTCTTCTTAAAGGGACTGTAAGCGTAATTTTATGTGACCATTCCCTAGCAAAGATGACTAAAGTGGCCGAGGACGAAGGATGGTGTACAGTTTGGAAGATCTCAAAAAATATTCTAGGTTAGACCTTCAATTTCAAACCATCCCACAAGAAGTGAAGGATGTCTTAGTTCATTCTTTTAAGGATTTGGATATTTTACATTTTGAAACTCTACAAATATTTTCGGAATTAAATTTGCCTCAAGGACCAATACTCTTTCAATCAGTAGATAAAAATGACAATATCCAATCTCTTTCAGGCCCATACATTCCCCATCTCAAAATGTATATCCAAATTTACCACAACCTTCAACATCTCAACCTAATATTTCAAATGATACACAAGCACGCACATCCTTAACAGTTTCCTCTCTACCTGATGACAATTCTATGGTTTCACCCCAGATTATCTCAAACTCTACCGTAAGTTCTAAGAAAACTCCTAAATCTCAAAGACTACTTTCTCCGATATTAACGCGTCGAAGAGTTAAACTACAAACTATTCAAAGCGATTCCGATTCCGATTCTGATTCTTCCATTACTAGAACAGTGAGGTTTACACCAAAGTAACTTTATAATTTTTAAGTTTTTTCCCCTCAGACGACAATCAATCCTGTCTCACCATAACTTTATACAACTATTCCTATTAAGTCTACATAATGGTAATAACTCAATCTTATAGTCATTGACACATTTTTATGTACATTTAAACTTAGTTATAATTTTAATACCAATATATATAAATGTTATACAATGAAAATTTTCTGTTTGTTGTGTTTTCATGAAAATATGGCAGGCTAAATGCATTTCTTTAGTTATCAATTCAACGTTTTAAAGGTGTTATTACTTGTTTACATTTAAATACTTGATTAGAAAAATCTTTCAAGGGTACCGTTGTAAATTGGGCATTGCCATCTTTTCCATGGAGGGTTACTTGAAATTACGCTTAAAGACACTTGTGCAATGACAATTAACATTTTTTAACTTTTTAAATGTTTTTTTTCTTCACTTTCTAAGAAGACATGATTCGTAGGTCGGGATCATATATTTAATATTGATAAAAGCGTCCGGACCACCTCGTCTCTCTAGTAGCTCCAGGGTCTCCTAAATATAAAAAAATTGATTTACTTCCAACTTAATAATCTTCCATTTTTTTAAATATTTGAAGTTTTCTTCAGTTCTATACTCAAATATCTCTGGAATTGTATATAGCTACAAGCACTATAGCTCCGCCCGTCTAATTCAGTTTGATAAAACGCGCTGGGTTAACCAATTACTTGGTACACAATTGACGGGCTGGTACGAGTAAACACTACACCAGACAATTCTTGTAAATTGTTTGGATTATACAACTTTAAACTTACTGTCAGACAAGCTCAAGATTCAAATTTAAATGTTTCAATGAACATGAAACACTGTAATTGGGCAGTGCAGTGTACACCATGTTTTATGCTTCTGAGCTGGGAACTTTAGAATGGTGGATATCAGGATTAATGCTTGATCCTCTCTTTTTGCTAATCACGAGTTTATGTTATTCTCAAGATTAAATATTTAGATCAACAAATTTGATTATAGGAACGCCAGATTTGTTGGTTTTCTTGACTGGAAGAGCCTTCATTTAATTTTTCACCCATTTATTTATTAATACATTAATTATAATTGGTTAAAAAAGAATCTCCAACGTATTATTAAATATTTTGCTTCACCGATAAATTTACAAAATGGCCGACAACAAATTCTTTATTTGTTAGAAATTGAGGATTTCTCTCATGGAATAGAATTTATTTTCAAGGCTGTTATTGGTCAATACAATTTACAAACTATATACCCGGAATCTCATTGGAGATAACAATGTACGGATATCCAAAGAGAAAGAAAAAGAGTGGATTTAGGACTAAAATCAAAAGTTTCCACAATGGATTATTGGATATTCGGATTAAGTAGTTGGGATTAAAGGTTATCCATTCCAAAGTTCCCAGTTCTTATAAAATTATTTGATCAACATGGAATGCGTAAAACATTGCCTGAATGTCGTCCTCCTATTCCACAGTTAAATTGGCTTCACTGAACACCAAACTGGTGGAAAGAGGAGTTAAACTCTGCAATAGCTGTGTCGTAACTAGTGGTTAACACGGACTTTTAAACCAAGTTACAAACTGGGATTCAAAAAGTCGAGTTTAAGTAGAATTTTTGGCACTATTAATTTCACTCAGTTGGTTTTAAGTGTTATTTAACACAAACGCCCATTTATGGCACAGCTAGTGCAGAGTTTAACTCTTCTTTAAAACTAAACTGGAACTCCATTGTTGAATGTAAAAGTGGAGTTAAACTCCACTTTCAACTCGAGTCTCTGTTTGCTGGGTTTATACTTCCCAATCCTACCTGTATTAGGTCTCCTATGTTTTCACCAAATCGTTGATGATAATCTATTCCATCGCCGGAGTTCACTAAACAAAGCTTAGATCAATTTCAATCATATTTGTCAATTTGTCAATTTTTCTAGTTTTCTAGAAAAAAGCCGAATCATGCTGATTGTTTTACGGAAAATTCCGAAGAAGACAAACTTTTGATCAGTACTAACTAACTCTGGGACAGCTTAAAAAAAATATTTAAATTCCGCTATTATTCAAGGTTAGGTTAGACCGTCTGAGCTAGCACAGTATGAAAGGGGGGCCGAGCGCTGCCGCTTTTGGATAGACCAAGGGGGCCGAGCTCCATAAAAAAATATCCGGGGTTTGTCCCAATGGATTCGAATCTTCAAAATTGTGCGAATAATCTTGAACCAAGTAGCGAAATATACCCAAAGTGTAAACTGTTATCATGGTGATAGTGAACCGGCCCTTCCTTTGAGGTTGGATATTGGCAGGAAAACCATGAAATTTTGAAAAATAAAAAAAATCGAAAATAATTCAGAGCTAAATAGTTTTTGATTTGGAACTGTCCTGTAAATATTTTAACTGGGTAATCAAAATTAAAGTTTAGTTTCATATGGTTTGATCCGTAGAAAATGATAAATACAACAGAATATATTGAAAATATTGCGATAATTTAGAACTTACAGTTTTTCTGTTTGAAGAGATTAAAGACTGGAAGGAGTTGTCTGAAAGAAAAGAAGAATATTCAAAAATCCTTTATTCAATTTTGATGGAATTTATCACACCTAATATTTCCCGTTAAGTAACTTTTTCATCCTGCTATTAAAATTTCAAATTTCAGACCTAATTTATCGCCTGTTTTTAAATAATTTGAGTAAAACGGAATAAAACTATATATTTTTTCTAGATTGTTTTCGATCAAAATAAACTGAAAAAAAAAATCCCGGCAAAAACTTAATAATACCCATTAAATGACATAAATAGATATTATGTACTAGTTTCTATTTTTGTTCTAGTGTCCCATTATTTATAGTTCATTAATCGCTTTGTATGCTTTTTAAGGTTTTTATAAAAAAAAATCAACAAAACTTTCAAGATTCAAAACTGTTATATGTTAAAGTTTGCTTTATACAACTTTGCAATATTTTTATTCATATGAAATAAAAATTTGAAAAAAACGATCTAAATGTTTATATTGATGCAAGTTACAACTAAAGTAAATAAATACTTAAGAATAAAGACGGCAAATTGGGCCATATGAAATTATTTGGTTGGGTAAAATTGTCAAATTATTGTTTCGGGGCCCAATTTATAATGTAGGGCTATTAATGTCGTCGTTTTTAAAAACTTTAAATTTAACGGACCATGAAAAAAAAATCTCATTAAACATAACGTGATATACACTAAAGTTTCATTCTTAGCTACGGATATCACATGTTACTCATTAGCAAGGGGGCTGGATCTTAGCTACCTTTCCGTGTATATTAGCCCAAGTGTATACTTCGGACCAAGGAGATATTGAATAGAAGGAGGGGGCAATAGGGTTTCCGTACACTTTGCTGTGACGTTTTTGGACTGCTGAAGAACTAGTTTTTGCGTAAAAACAATAACAAAGGTAGCCGATCTAATGTAAACAAACATGGGTTAGTAAACTGTGAAAGTAGTATTAATCTCAGAGGCGCAACTAGGGGGGGGCGGCTGGGCGCGCGCCTTCCTCCCCTAGCACCTGAGAGGGGGGAGGGCGCCCCCCCCCCTGCAGAATGAAAAGAAAGAAAGAATGGCGAAAATCAGTATGACAGGAATAAGAAAGTTATTGTAGAAATTTTATTATACTATAGTTAGTTTTAAAAAGAATATTTTATATTTGTAAATTCTCAAGGCTAAAGGCTATTGAAAACATTTAATGTAAAAAAAGTTCTGAACTGTATTTTATTTGTGTTCAGTTTAAAGAGTATTCGTAGATATCAAACTTTGAATTCTTATTGTAAAATATTCCAAGTTTGAAATATCAAATGTTTACACCACTCGGTGCAAAGATTTAGGAATTAGAATATTTGAGTTTGTGGCAAAAACTCAGTTCCAAATTTAGAGAAAACTCTGAACCTGGCAAATTTCTAACTGATTATCATATTTGATAACTAACAAGATTTATCTTCTTTGACAGAAGTTCTGTAAAATCGAAAATGAATTTAGATTATGAATGTTGGTTAGATCAATCATTAATTCAATAACTTCAAGGGAAAAGGTAACATTATCTGTCCTTTTTCGATGTGGATGATTGAAATTATTATTTACCTATGTATTTTTATGTTTTTTTTCCCAGAAACTATAAATGATTATTTCTTGCAATTTAATCTGTAATTAAACCAGGTACTTAAAAAATACTCTTTTGCGATTCGCACACATATTCAATGAATTGAGTTACGCAAAAACTAGTTCTTCAGCAGTCCAAAAACGTCACAGCAAAGTGTACGGAAACCCTATCGCCCCCTCCTTCTATTCAATATCTCCTTGCTTCGGACATTTTACTGATCAAGAATGTTAAGAGGTTATGGCCTAATCATACAGTACACACATCAAATATGCAGTACGCTTTCGGAGTACAATTGTGTATTAGGAGGTTTAGTATCTTAAATTTTACTCAGTTTTCTCAGAACCGTTTATTATTGATGAAATATTGCTCTGTAATATTATGTCTTCCTGTGAAAATGTAATCCTGCACACGATAAAGGTGTAGTGGATTGCAATAGTCAAATGGAAAACAGATTCTCCTAGCTAAATATTTTCAGAAATCACCCCCCGAGTACTGTAATCATAGAGAATAGAATATATAGAGAGGAATTAAAAGAATCTCTCGGTATGAATTTTTTCAGTCCCTTTCAGCCTGAAAGGGAGTTCAAAGTATACAAATCATGTAAGTGTTCACAAATTATATGCAGTAGAGTACATTAATACAGTATGTTCCCTAAACTATTCATTTCAATTTCGAATTTTTTAAACTGTTAAATAAACTTTATAATGAATTAGGTGAATAAAAAACATCATATGATTTATAGTTATAACGGAAAATCATCGTTTGTAAAGTGGAAGGCATAGAGTCTATGTGAAATGATCATTGGTCAATTATGAAACCAGCCTATTTCATAAGTTGGTTTTCTTTTAACAATAATTTTAGATTTTCTATAAAATGATATTCCAGGGCCCAACAGGTTATATAGCATAAATATGTGAAGTACACCTGCAGTATGGAAACAGTACAACAAAATGGCCGTTTTACACTTTTTTCTAGTTAATTCCTCTCTATATATTCTATTCTCTATGACTGTAATATACAGATTGACCTTTGGAAGTGGAGTACATGTCCTGTCCTGTACAATTATTAAAGGATTAGCGTAAATCATCACTCTATATACTATATCCTCGTTACTCATTAGTTTTTTATCTTTTAACTTGCTTCAAAAAGCTTCAACCCAACAAATTTTCCTTCAAAAATAAAGCTGTTATCTTCAGAGGACTTAATTCTTGGTTTTAAAATCACAAAATCAAAACTTTCTCTTCAAGTACAGTTAGACCCTCAAAGAGAAATACATCGGAAGAATTTATCAAATGTCGCCTTGACAGTTTTTCAATGGGTTTTATACTATTTTACGTAAAGGAATTGAGTCTTTGTAACAAACTCTGATTTTTTAATCCCTTTATCTCTATAACCCAATGTTTTAGACCCTAGATATTTCAAACTATAAATGCTGATGGATCAAATAATCAAAGTTTGAAATATCAAAGGTTTACGCCATCTGGTTTTAGAGATAGGTATTAGAAAATTGGAATTTGTGGCAAAGACTCAATTCCTTTCAGTATTTGCGAAAATCAATAAATAGCCATGAATATGCGGGAACAGTTTTAAAGAGTTCCATATAATCATTTAATTAAAAAACTAAATATCTGCAACATTCCATTATCAGAAAGTGAAGGATACAACATTTGATGATTTCTTTCGATGTATGGCTTATTTAGGGTTTAACTGTACAGCAAACATGTAAATTAGGATTTAAACTACAAAAAAACATTTAATATAAAAATATGTTTATTTTATTTTGATGTTTGTTCAAATTAAATAGTTTATGTCAGAAAACTGTAAAAGTATTTGTCCTCTATAAGAAAAATTACTAAAAGTTGATCACAATTGTCTGGTTATGTAGAAATTCATTACATAAAAATTTAATTTTCTTCATCTGCAGAATAGATCTAATTTAGGGTTTTAATTTGCAAAACTTTTGCGAAATTTTTTCGAAAAAAGCGCAAATTTTTGCTTTCGTTGCGTTACATTTTTCTATTCCACAGTTTTATTGGTCTTATAGTACTCATGAAGCCATAATAATTCTTAACAATATTTTTCAGAAACATGTTTAGTTTTGTAAATATTCAACAAAAAAATCAATCAAATTGATTAAACAAAAATATATTTGGGTTTGTAGCCTTTCCCTTTTTTGGGAGTTTATTGAAGTTGAAAGTGGAGGTCAACATATTGTTTATTAAAAACGTTTTTAAAAAACCTTTCAAAATATTAGGTTGGAGAACAGAATTCTTCACAATCTGTTGTTCAGGCATTTACGATGGATTTATGAAATAAGGATCTTTGATTTAAATATTATACAGAAAGCAAAACTGTTTTGAGTAATATTGAGAATAGATTGGAATTGGAATATTGAGAATAGATTGGAATTGGAATATTGAGAATAGATTGGAATTGGAATATTGAGAATAGATTGGAATTTTAGAGGAACAAAGTACACGCATCACAGCAGAGAGACAAGTTTAAGGTTGTCTCTGAGATTTGAATAATTTGCAGCATACATTCGTAATTTGATAACGTTAATTGTTTAAAACAATACAAAATACACATAGGGTCTGGTATTTTTCAAATTTAATATAGTTTTTTTGTGAATTCGGGGTTTACTGGAGATTTGAATTTTGTTTTACCTGTAGTAAGGAACTATTGCCTGTCCAATATAATCTGCACTCTTTACAAGTTTCTGCAGAGCTTTCAGAGTTCGACACATTACATCCTCCTTCCGGGTATTCAGAGCAACTAAACAAATAATATCAAAGGGAGAGACCGGCAATATTTGGTAGTTGAGCGGAGAGTGCAGTATTTACGGTGTAAAATTGTTCAGCAAGAGCACAAATTCAATCTTAAAAGTCCTCCTGGATTGTTAGTTCTGAACGGAATGATTTTGAGAATCAGTTTTTTTAAAAAACTATTTAATAACGACCATGAAAAATGTTACACACATTCTGTAGTAAACAAGGGACATATTTCTCAATAAAACTTCACAAAGGAATCTAATGCATCCTGAAAAATGTCTCAGCTATACTGCACTTTCAGCTCAACCACCATGTCTAGATGGTATCTAGAGCAACTTATAAAATGATAGTCTAGAGAGTCCTTCCTTTCTGGTATTTAGAGCAAATAATAAAATAATAATCTAGAAAGTCCTCTTTTCTGGTATTCAGAGCAACTAATAAAATATTATTAAAGAGATTCTCCCTTTCTGGTATTCAGAGCAACTAATAAAATACTATTAAAGAGACTCCTCCTTTCTGGTATCTAGAGTAACTTATAAATACAATTAAAGAGAGTCCTCCCTTTCTGGTATTCAGAGCAACTAATAAGATAATATTAAAGAGAGTCCTCCTTTCTGGTATCTAGAGTAACTAATAAACTAATATTAAAGAGAGTCCTCCTTTCTGGTATCTGGAGTTACTAATAAAATAATAGTCTAGAAAGTCCTCCCTTTCTGGTATTCAGAGCAACTAATAAAATAATTTTAAAGAGAGTCCTACTTTCTGGTATTCAGAGCAACTAATAAAATAATATTAAAGAGAGTCCTCCTTTCTGGTATCTAGAGTAACTTATAAAATAAAATTAAAGAGAGTCCTCCCTTTCTGGTATTCATAGAAACTAATAAAATAATATTAAAGAGAGTCCTCCTTTCTGGTATCTAGAGTAACTTATAAAAACAATTAAAGAGAGTCCTCCCTTTCTGGTATCTAGAGCAACTAATAAAATAATATTAAAGAGAGTCCTCCTTTCTGGTATCTAGAGTAACTTATAAATACAATTAAAGAGAGTCCTCCCTTTCTGGTATTCAGAGCAACTAATAAAATAATATTAAAGAGACTCCTCCCTTTCTGGTATCTAGAGCAACTAATAAAATACTATTAAAGAGAGCCCTCCCTCTCTGGTATTCAGAGCACTAATAAAATAATAATAAAGGGAGTCCTCCCTTTCTGGTATTCAGAGCAACTAATAAAGTAATATTAAAGAGCTCCCTTCCTGGTACTCATAGAAACTAATAAAATAATATTAAAGAGAGTCCTCCTTTCTGGTATCTAGAGCAACTAATAAAATAATATTAAAGAGAGTCCTCCCTTTCTGGTATCTAGAGCAACTAATAAAATAATATTAAGAGAGTCCTCCCTTTCTGATATTCAGAGCAACTAATAAAATACTATTAAAGAGAGTCCTCCCTTTCTGGTATTCAGAGCAATTAATAAAATAATATTAAAGAGAGTCCTCCCTTTCTGGTATTCAGAGCAACTAATAAAATAATATTAAAGAGAGTCCTCCCTTTCTGGTATTCAGAGCAATTAATAAAATAATAATAAAGGGAGTGATCCCGAAAAATTGAGAGGTAAATCAAATTGACAAAAAAATGTTTATTTCAATCATCATTTTTTTCTATCCAATGTTTCCAATGAGTCCATGGGCGTATAAAGTAGTTTTGCTTAAATATGTTTTCTTTCCCGTGGTTTCGGAACACCTTTATCTTAAAGATCCCGGGGGGGGGGGCTGAGCCCCAATAGCCCTCTATCTGTCTGAGTTTGCTTACGTTTAATCGGAATAATGAGTTGTGGAAGAACAGGTAAAATCTTCTTCCCTCCTCCTCTAGCCAGTAGGTCATCTATACCTGATAAATATTTACATTAAATGGACGGTAAGCGTAGTTTCAAATGAGCCTTAATTTAAAAATGGCAATGTTTATATACAATGGTATCATTTCAAGGCTTTTCTGATCAAGTATGAATGAAAATATATAGACCAACAAAAAAGTAAAAAATTATTCCAAAAAAATCATTTAAGGAATGAACATGGGTTCCAAAGTTAAGACTCACTAAACTAATAACCAGGTCCTCGAGTTTATATTAATCAGCTTGATAACATTATAGAAAAGGGCATTGCTCACATTTAGCAATATATACAAAAAAGCATAACTAATGCTAAAATGTTAACTTAGGCACTAAGTCTACCTTAGTGCTCAAAGATGTTCCTCAGAGCCAAAAAACTCAATACTCTCAAAAAACTATACCTTGAACAGCGAAGAAAACAAATGGATGCTGGTTTTCTCTCAGTCCGTCGAAGAAAAGAGGCAGGTAGTAGTGATAGTCCAGTGATTCAAGCGGAACCTAGGACAGCATGCTGGTCAGATGACACAAAACTAGTTAGAGATAGATATATCCCATGTGACCGTATGGATAAATTCAAAATCCATCTTAAATAGCGAGAACGAGTTATGGATTATCTTTCTTATATGCCTGGAAGCTCAGGCATATTATTTTCAAGTTTCTTTGTTTATTTACTTGCCGAAAACAGTTGGCACTTTTTATTTTATTTTTCAGTTTTAGTAATTATTATAGACATCATTTTTCAATCAGTTGTGTGCAAAGCAAAACTAATAATGATTGTCTTTCGATTTGAGTACGTTTTAAGAAATTTAGGAAGCTGTTCTATAAAAAAATGAACTCAAAGAAAGAAACGTTTTAATCAATTCTTTAATATTATGGTCAATTTCTATTACCTTCCATGAGATTCTATTCCCGCGGCCATCTTGTTTCATGGAGAACGGAAAATCTCCTCTCTCATAGGACTGACGAAATGTAGTTCTGAACAAAACAAAAATCAACAATTTCTATCAGTATTTTATTCCAAGTTAATGGCATAATTTAATATTGTTTAATAAGTTTAATTATAATGTGATTTAATTGTTGAAGAGTCTTTTTCTTATGCATGTTAAATAAAAGATATAGTTTTTCATCATGAATTTTTATAATTTTGTTTTAAAACTAGTCATCTTGCGTATGCTTGTATTGAAGCTAAAGAAAAAAATTTGTTTTTGCGATTTTACAAATTTTTGAAAACTAGTTTTTTTAGATATAATTTGAGATGTTAATCAGATATGTGATTCTACCCCGTTTGCCTAATATAGTCTGTACAATGTACATCTTGCTCTGTACAGCTTACATTTTTAAACTAAATCTACCAATTTTTTTAAGAGATTAAATTGTCTTCAGATTACAAGCAACAAACTTTAATTTCATAATTCTCATATTTTGCAACCTATAATAAACTATAGTTTTAGTAGATGTAAATATTTTCATTTACTGATAGCGCCGATTAAAGGATTCATAACTCTGATTGCATGGGGATAGATAGACAGATAGATGTTACCGCCATACTTTTTCTATTGGTTAAGAATAGACAACAAGCACATGACTGAACCCTGATTGGATCAGGAGCTTTGAAATATAATGGGAAAAGATTTATGGATCAGGAAATAACAGTTTTGGACATTAACTCTTTAGATAAATTGAAAAGTTGGAATTATTAAAGGTGTAGGACATCAAGCAACATGAGATATATGGATTAGGATTAGGTTAATCAATAGTATTTCTACCTGGGAGCCTGTCTGGGCTTGAAAGCAGAGCAAGATGGAGGCGGTGTCACAGAGGTTCCCCTTTGCCTTCAAGTTAAGTGATAATAATTACAACAATAAAAAAAGAAATATAATAATAATAAAAACAATAATAATAAAAACAAGATGGCTACCCATAAGTGTCCACAAAAAAGAATAGCTGAAGTGCCCGGTGTTGCTTGTAGAATTTAAAAAAAAATGATGAAAAGAATGTTCATCTTAATTTGTTTAGCCTATATTACCCCCCCCCCCCACCCCGATACCAATGGGTTCTCTCAAAAAAATTCAGCCAATTTGGTTCAGCCGTTTATCCAGCTATAGCTAGCTAACATATAAATATATATAAATATATGAGCGAAGAGCTTTATTAAATAGAAGATAATGACAAAAATAATGACAATTCACACAAAACTAAGCTAGCATGGGATAGGTAAAATAGGCCTATGATAGGCCGGGTACTGTAAACAGTCTGTCCGGTACAAGGGGTCGGTCTGAGTCGAATTTATATTGACCCTACACTCCTGTATGCCGAGTCCATTAGCGCATGATCCAATCAGGATTCAGTCATGTGCTTGGTGTCTACTCTGAAACAATAGAAATAGTTTGGCGGTAACATCATTCTTTCTATCTATCTCATTATTTAATCAGAGTTATGAATCCTTAAATCGGCGCTATCAGTAAATGGAAATATTTATTTCTACCAAGGTGCCTAGTCTACCGTGAATAATGATGATGATATTAAAAAGATTGATTACGGTAATAAAAATTTTATATTAATAAAAAAAAAAAACAATGAAAATAATATTAATGGTAATTATGATAACAATAATGATAAGAAACAGGAGAAGTCAAACTGTGTAAATATTTTAATATTTCTAATTATAAATTATTATTGTTGTAATCATTCTTTCCTGGACTGTACCGAGAAAGCAGGCACCAATCTCTGACAGTCCCTATCGTAAGGACCGAATTTACCTAAATAAAACAAAAAATGTACATTCTATGTACAGTGGACACAAAGGTGATTTTGCTGGAGTAGGAATAAGCTTGAAGTTGAAATAAAAAAGTTAAAGAGTAAAGAAAATACAACGGATAATGTTAAAACCTTGTTTTGAATCACGGGCAGCCGTATAGTTGATTTGAATTTCCGAGCCGGGTCAAGGTTTCCGTTCCCAGTTTGTACTGTTCCTAGCTCTACGGGCAGGACTAGCCGGTGCAACAAGGCTTCATATAGGTTGAATTTACTTTTACTAAAAGGGCAGAGGTGCGTGGAATGAAAAACAAAGTGAAACTTTGTATGAATAAACGTTTTTCTATAAATTAACTAAAAAGATATAAAATACAACGTGGAATAGAATATAAGGATTTGATTACCTTTAAATGGAACCTTCCAGGTGCCTGCTGTTGGCATATTCCCTGTCAGCATTATAAAAGTTTAGAATACTTAAACAAGCTTTTGCGCCCCTTTTTAGAATCAATTTTAGCTTTTAACTCTTGCTTTTCAAGTCGTCAACCAAAAATTTTCGCGGATTTTTCTGTTCAAATTAGTGCATTTTTAAAAATGCTAAGTGAACAAATTTTTTTCCGTGCAAATTTTTTAAGTTCTAACAATTACAAACCTTTTCATTAAGTAAATACAAAGTGGGTCTCAAATTTTTACAGAATTTCGATAAAAATAATTTTTTCTAAATTATTGATCAACAAGAAATTAGTTTATCCTATTTTTTTAATTCGACTATTGTTTACCGAAACCAGCAGAAAATGGTAAAACTAAAGTTTCGCCTATTAAGCAATTGGTACCCCACCAACTTTATTAGATATCTGAACAATCCCTTTATAGTCAGAATAAAATATAAAATATAAAATATAAAATATAAAATATAAAATATGAAATATAAAATGGTGAAATGGTTTTGTGTATGTATTAAACTGCCTGAATGCAGTACTGTCCGAGGTAAACAAAGCTTGAGGGGAAATTCGGCCTGAAGTTGGCTTGTTTTATCAATAAACAGAGATATACTGGAGAATTAATAGATAGATAGATAGATAGATAGATAGCTAGATAGATAGATAAATAGATAGATAGATAGATAGATAGCTAGATAGATAGATAAATAGATAAATAGATAGATAGATAGATAGATAGATAGATAGATAGATAGATAGATAGATAGATAGATAGATAGATAGATAGATAGATAGATATATAGATTTATATATATTGAAATATCAAAGGTTTCCAGTAGTGCTTCAGTAGCGGTTTGAAGTTCAAAATCACAATCCCAAAATCCACAAACTTTTAAAATGCAATTTGCATTATTTATCTCGATCTCGATAAATAGATACATCCAACCATATAGATAGATCTAACTTTGACTCCCGATCTTATATCTGTATATGTATCTATATATAAATAATATAGATAGATACATAGATAGATATATTATATAGATAGATAGATAAATAGATAAATAGATAGATACAAACAAAGACTTTGGAACTGCGGAATATAAAGACGACTTTTAGACTCAATTTTTGATTAAATAGTTCAATAAACATAAAATACCGCAAATGGGAAGTGAACATGCAGATTGTCTAAATTTCGTCTTCAAATTCCGGAGTTTTATGTATACAAAAACAATGAATAATTCGGATAAATTCAGGTTCATCGGCGCCACTGCCAAGCAAAGTAACATGGATGATACCCAACTGAAGCCAACCAAGAATAGGAGAGTCTGCGTTTACAATACCAGCAAATCCAAAACGAAAAAAGTTTGGATGCAGGGTCTTTAATTGGATCATATGAATTCCAGAGTGTGTAAAAACTATTACATTGTTAAATAAATATTATGACGTTATATTTTCAATAATTCATGTAAATCAGGTAGAGAGAGAATTCAATCTTAAGAATGAAAAAGTAAAGAGATAATTGATTACTGTTAAAAAGTACAAGATTACTTGCATACAAGATACGTGACATGAATTTTCTTCTTATAAACACTTTATATACTTCAAACCAAAAGTAAATGTTCTAAAGGACTGATAGAAGTAATTTCAAGTTACCAACCCATTAAAGATCCTATCAACAACAGTACCATTTAAACATTTATCTGGGTAACAATGAGGAAGATATCATCGTTATTTCATTTTAAAAAGTGATGAATTCTATAAATTTTGTTCATTGTCTTTATTGCGTAAAATCTACTAGTCACTTCTATGGACTATGAACCAACGAGGTTATAGTTTATAGAGTGATGATGTACGCTTATCCTTTACTAGTTTTACAGGCCATAAACTATACCGAGAGCGTACTGCATATTTGTTTATTATAAGTTGAAATTCTGGCCTAGAACCTGTATCATTATTAGTAAACTGCATTACAGCAAACTGAGAACTCTTAAATCTATTACAAAAAGACAACATTATGAAACGTCAAGAGCGTAAAAAGTACTGGATTATCAGAGAAGAAGACATTTGTTACTATCGCTGACTCACCCACAAAATGCGTCAAATTAGCGTAGATTTTCTGATGCACTATCTTCTAAATCTAACAGTCTCATTGCCGTGAAACAAAACTCTTTTTGCAAAATTTTCGGTTTATTTAACCATCTTCAAGGCATATTCTAAAAAACATACAAAATAAGTAACTAGAACAATAGATGTTTGAAATTTAAAAGAATTAAAGATAAAAGTAACAATAAAGAAACTAAAACAAATAAACAGACCTGGAAACCAGGATACCTGGAAACCAGAATACCTGGAAACCAGAATACCTGGAAACCAGGATACCTGGAAACCAGGATACCTGGAAACCAGGATACCTGGAAACCAGGATACCTGGAAACCAGGATACCTGGAAACCAGCATACCTGGAAACCAGGATACTTGGAAACCAGGATACCTGGAAACCAGGACTGGAAACCAGGATACCTGGAAACCAGAATACCTGGAAACCAGGCAACAACTGCAGCAATAGAGGAAACTACAACTGAGGCTGTGGAATTTGTATAGATTCAAATAAAAAAACACAAAACAGACATTTTTGATCTACGGCTTTTTTTTCAGCAAAAGCAGAGAACCATTCTTATTTACTTGTCCGCCTCCACTTTACTTTGATCCAAATCTAAATGTTTGTAACTGGCCATCTGAGGTTGACTGTGTTCATGGTACAACTGAAGCCCCTGAGGAAACAACAACTGCAGCTTCAGAGGAAACTACAACTGAGGCTGTGGAAGAAACTACAACTGAAGCTGCAGAGGAAATTTCTTCCACAGCCTCCGTTGTAGTTTCCTCTATTGCTGCAGTTGTTGTTTCCTCTGCAGCTTCAGTTGTAGTTTCCTTTGCAGCTTCAGTTGTAGGTAACTAGAACAATAGATGTTTGAAATTTAAAAGAATTAAAGATAAAAGTAACAATATAGAAACTAAAACAAATAAACAGATTTCAAATGTGTACAGAGGGGTTGCAGATTTCGTAACTTCAGAACAGTTTGTTTAATTGTTAAAGAGGAAACATATTCATGAAGCATATGTAAAGACAAAGACTGTAACTGGAAAATAGTATCACATAATAGATAATGGAATAAAGCTAGGTTAGAGTATACACAGGTTGTTTTTATCTTCGCCACAGAGGTCCCTCCCAGCATGATCTACAAGGTTGATGAGGAGATGAAGCTGTAGTTGGTTGTCTGGGTGCACTAGGAGGGTTTTTTCTAAGAACCTGAGAACCTGGAGGAGAGGACAGAGAACTAGGCGGAGGAGGAGGCGGAGAAAGCGGAGATCTGAACCTAACCCAAGGTGGAGCTGCAAGGGCGGAGAACAATCCAGAGGAGTTCGCTTAGGATGTCCTTTAGGAGTTGAGGAATGTTTAGCTTTTATATATTTATAAAAGACGACATTAATGTTTGTCTGTCTGACAATACAAAGCAGGTAGTTTCCATTTAAACTCCGCACCTTTCACAGGTGTGGAGATGGTTTCCAAGATGAATTTATAAATATAAAAGGTAATAGTTTGTAAACTTTAAATAACCTTTAGATTGTATGCATAAGTGTATGCATATTTATCAAGTTATATATCTTAACTATTTTGTATATTTCAGTTATGTGCTTTAGACGAGTGTATCGTGTAAATGAGAATATTGAAAATACACATCTATAAAGAAACTTGCTCATTATATTCACAAGTCTACCAATCAACAAAAGTTGTTGTCTGGGTCTTATTAAAAGGAAACCTGAAACTGATTCCACTCAATACAAGGAACTATAACCTCAATGGAGATTACTGGGTTGAGTCTGTCTATTGAAACCTTATCTTCCCAAGCTCCCAACTGCAGAGTAAAATATTTGTCATCCATTTGAAGAACCAGGTATGGACCTCGATTCAAAGGCTGGAGAGGAGGAGTAGACCAGACCTCATGTACAAACACATGGGTTGCAGTTTTCTAGGATGCTGGGACAGCAGGAGCTGTCGCATGAACATGGTGTCTAGGAAGAGCTGAGAAACTCTGCAAGACTGAACGGATTCAAGACTTGAATATCTCCGAGCTGGGAAACTTTGGAGCATCTAGGAATATTCCAGGGAGAATCAAAGGAGAAACATAAACAGCTTCTGCAGAGGAACAAGCCTGATCATCCTTCAGAGCAGAACGCAAACCCAAAAGAACCAGGGTTAGATGATGTAACCAGCCTGAACCTGCTAGTTTGGAAAGGTCCTGAGTTTCTGAACAATGTTTCTGGAGCTGAGCAAGGTTGGAATAATTGATTAACTGAGCCAAGGTTGGAGAAATATTCGGGGAGTGAACTGAAGAAACTAAACCTTGAGCCTGGGGTTCCAGAAATGACAGAAAACTGGAGAAACTGAACTTCCAGAACAGGAACCAGGAGACGCAACCACAGGGATACCAACAGGACGGGAGAAAGCATCAGCCACCATGTTATAGATAGATAGATAGATAGATAGATAGATAGATAGATAGATAGATAGATAGATAGAAGGATAGATCATAAAGATCTAATGTGCAGAAGTTTCCGGGAAAATTGAAAAATGTTAACATAGTTTGAATTCCTCTCAGAAACTACAGTTCAGTTTTACTTTTAAACAACAATTTTGGATTTTTGGTTTATTTATCTATCCGTAATTTGTAATAATGTATAAGCTGAGAAGTTTCTAATCAGTGGTTCCTTGTATTGCATTTTAAGGAGTAAGCTGAATAGAGGATTCCATTTTTAATTGAACTAATTTCTGAAAAAAAAAAAACAATAAGATTGATATCAATGGAATTTTTCAAGCTGAGCTTGACAATATGGTTAATATTATATGCACGACCTAATTATAGTATGATTTTGTGTTTCTTGTATTTGTATTTATTTTGATATATATTTTGCTTGTTAAATTTGTACCAATTATTTTAATTGTGTACGTTCACAAATCAAATAATTCGAAATAAATATAAACAAAACTCAGTTTGTTTACATTCCTCCCAGAAACTGCAGTACACTTAAACGATGTTGACAATATATGAAAATTCCTCAATGTATTGTTCTTGACTCTCTGTACCTATAAATAAAAACTTCATTTACTAAAGTCATCCCATTCTGTCTACAAAAGATCCTCTGAGATATTTATCAAATAATTACGAATTAACAAACAGACACTTTAAAATACGGACAGGAGAACAAACGGGTGGAACCAAATAGCATTGAGAGTGCGAGATCGAGATATCAAATGTAAGAACCAAATGTACATTGAATTTTCAAGAAGAATAGTTCTCCATTAAATGTACACAAAGCATTTTTCACGCATTTTCCCGTTCTACATGATTTGCGGATTTTGAATCTAAGAAATAGTGTCTGAAACCTCAGTCTTGCCTGGATTAGGTGTGGCGGGGATGGAATTCAGTTTTACAATGTTTAATTGAAAACCGATAAATTAGACTTTAACGAAAAATGAAGAAACGTCGTCGCTCTTTTTTCTCAAACTCAACAAAACCAATTCCAAGCTAAAAACGACGTATTTTCCAGAAAAAAATAACAAACAAATCTTTGTTCCTTAAAAATTGCAAAAGTTTATCAAAAGAATAATTCCTCTCTTTTCAAAAAGAAAAGGAAAGAAAAAAACTATCAATATGTATCTTTTTTCAGTATTATTCAGTTTTCATAAAACCTTCAAAATTTGAATTAATAAAGAATCGGAAGCCTAGATAAAACAGATTAAAATCCTTTTACTGCTAAGCTATAAATAGGTTTAAACGTAATCTCATTAAAAATTTTGGGACCTCTGTAAATTGTTATAAAATATCAAGATTTTGTAAAGATTTCATTTAAGTCTGTGTTAAACATTTTAGACTTGGGGCTCATTTAGGTGTTAATTACAGGAAGTTTAAACTTAGGGTTTCCTACCCATAACCCTATATCTATCTATCTATCTATCTATCTATCTATCTATCTATCTATCTATCTATATATATATCTATCTATCTATCTAATCTATCTATCTATCTATCTATCTATCTATCTTTCTATCTATCTATCTATCTATCTATCTATCCATCCATCTATCTATCTATCTATCTATCTATCTATCTATCTATCTATCTATCTATCTATCTATCTATCTACCTATCTATCTATCTATCTATCTATCTACCTACCTATCTATCTATCTATCTATCTATCTATCTATATATCTATCTATCTATCTATCTATCTATCTATCTATCTATCTATCTATCTATCAAGAATGAATATATAGAGACTGGTGCCGTATATGCATTATGAATTATTCCATCATCTGACTGCGATGAAAATTTTATTGGTATTAAAGCTGGGACCGAGTACTAGGGTTGTACCAATACCAAGCTGGGACCGAGCACTCGGGTTGAAACAATCCTAAAGATGGGACCAAGTACCAGGGTTGCACCAATCCTAAAGCTGAGAACGAGTACTAGGGTTGTACCAATACCAAAGCTGGGATCGAGTACTTGTGTACAAATACTAAAGCTGGGACCGAGTACTTGTGTACCAATTCTGAAGCTAGGACGGAATGTTAGGGCTGCATTAATACTAAGGCTGGGACCGAGTACTTGTGTACCAATGTTAAAGCTGGGACCGAGTACTTGTGTACCAATTCTGAAGCTGAGTATTAGGGCTGCACCAATACTAGTGCTGGGACCGAGAAATAGGGTTGTACCAATACTAAAGCTGGGATAGATTACTAATGTACTTTACTGAAGTTTCCGGGAAAATTGAAAAATGTTAACATAGTTTGAATTCCTCTCAGAAACTACAGTTCAGTTTTACTTTTAAACAACAATTTTGGATTTTTGGTTTATTTATCTATCCGTAATTTGTAATATCGGTAAATCTATTTATCACTAATTCGTAATATCGGTAATCTAATTTTAATATATGTTTATCGATCTATTCCTAATTTGTGTACTCTCTCCCCCCCCCCACAATTTGTAGCAAAAAATGAGGCCTATTGTAATTAACGTCATACCTTGTTCGTAAAGTAAATGTGCCAGGAGTAATTACACATATTCTGTAAGGTGATTAACCCATTCCATGTACGTAGATATATATATAACTCCGTCATACCCATATTATGATTGTTTAACTACGTTATATATATAACAGTGCATAATTTGTAATCACGCTGTTAGTGACCTAATTCTGATCTGAGCTAAGATATACACCTCAGTTGAAAGAATAACTCCGTACTGTTTACTGCGAGAGAGTAATCCTGAAACTCTATTTTGATGAACAGGTAGGATCATCCCCGTTAATTTGGGATCGATATGTAGCTTATTGTATAGCTAGGCTTGTGTCCCTGTGTGGCATTTAGAGCACCGGATCGTCCCCGTCATTTGGGATCTATATATAGCTTGCTATATAGCTATGCTTGTTTCCCTGAGTGACATTTAGAGCATTGGATTAGTAGCTGTATTTCGATAGCTACACTTCTGTCCCTGTGTGGCATTTAGAGCCTGGGATTCAGTTCTGGTTGAATTTGATATCAGATGGATTGTACCTGGATAGAGAACTTGTTATGGAGTAGGTGTTTACTACAGGTATATCAATCCATCACTAACCCGGAATACTGGTATATTAAGCCATCCCTATTTTGTGTTATCGGTATATCAATCTATCACTAATTTGTATTATCGGTATATCAACATATCCCTAAAACGTAATATCAGTACATTGATCGACCCTCTAATTTGTAATATCAGTATATCAATCCATTCCTAACTCATGTTATTGGTGTATCGATTTATTACTATCAATAATATGGGTACAACAATATATCCCTGATTGGTATTATCGGTATTTTGATCTATCCCTACTTTATAATATCGGTATATCAATCCATCCGTAAACCATAATATTGGTATATCGATCCATCCGTAAACCATAATATTGGTATATCGATCCATTCGTAACCCGTAATATCCATATATCGATCCATTACTAACTCGTAATATCGATCCATCCCTAGCCCGTAATATCCATATATCTATCCATCACTAACTCGTAATATTGATCCATCCCTAGCTTGTAATATCCATATATCTATCCATCACTAACTCATAATATTGATCCATCCATAGCCCGTAATATCCATATATCAATCCATCACTAACTCATAATATCGATCCATCCCTAGCCTGTAATATCCACATGTCGATCCATCCCTAGTTCTGAATGTGAAGAAATCTCATTCTATGATTTTATCGTGGACAATAAAATAGTTGAGGGTGTGCTTCATGTCATCTCATTCGGGGTCTCTCCATAGAGAACTCTCTTCCTGTATAGAGGGGGGTGGCACCCTTTTAACCCAAGGGGGGGGAAGGGTCACAATATATAAACTATAGGGAGAGAAAGGGAAAATGGAAAGAAAATGGAGAAATCAAAAAAAGAAATCAAGATGTTAGAAAAAATCGATATCAAAATTTTCTCATAACTCTTCTTAAATTTCTTAAATTAAAAAAGAAATATTTTGAATTTCAATTTTGCTTTTCTTATTGTGAATTAAAGAAAAACTACAAGAGCTACGAGGTCACATAGTAATAAACAAATTTTACACTCGCCTCCTGAATAGATGAATAGATAAATTGATGAATAGATAAATTGATGAATAGATAAATAGATAAATAGATAAATAGATAAATAGATAAATAGATAAATAGATAAATAGATAAATAGATAAATAGATAAATAGATAAATAGATGAATAGATAAATAGATAAATAGATAAATAGATAAATAGATAAATAGATGAAGTTTATTTATAAAACAAACAAAAAAGTACACACTTATCAAACAATTGTTTGATTTAGTATTTACAAGTTATAAATATAAACATTTAAACTACAAAGAAAACATTGATATTTGATCTAACACAGATGATTTATTTTCCAATTGTAGATGTACAATGACTAGAAATTTGACTAAAAAAGCAATTCAGATTTCGATCTTGGTCCAAAATAGTTCATATTCCATTTTAAAATCATTCTTTTAAATTTTGTATTTTAAAATCTGAAACTAAGTTTTCCTGCATATATTATGGCAAATGGGCTGTTTATCCAAATTGGGAATTACGTAATGACAGATTTACTTTTAATATAAAGTTTTAAGACAAAAAATGTTAAATGCAAAAGTTCTTGTACTAATATTGATAATTTTAGATAAAAGGGATTGTAGATGTAATCTTCATTATCCTTCAATATTGAAAGTTTGGTATGTCCCTTTACAATAATACCCTTCGACTGACAATTTTCTTCATTGTCTCTGAAGAATAAATTTGTGAGTTTGCTTACAATCAAACACCCCGGAGGGTAACTTGAATTTAAACGTCCTTAGTCCTTGAAAGCAGTTGACATGTTTTTATCAAATTTATCAAATTTATCGTCTAATCTTATGAATTTAATTCATATTGATCAAAACATTTTTAATCTAATTCAACCCAAATTAATTGATATGTTTACAATATTCAAAACTATAGTTCAGGTTTACAGGGGGTAAGTCAATGAGAGAAACTTTCAAATTTCCCATTAAATTAAAATTTTATTTAAATTTTATTCTGAAAGGATTTAACTTTTGTCATTAAACAGTTATGTGGAGGGAAATTTATTCTGCAAAATCTAGTTATTACACTTTGTTCTTTGCTTTGTAACTTAGTTATTGTCAATTAATTATCTGAACAATTATCATTTTTAAATTAATAATTCTGTTTTTATAAAAAAAGCAGAACTACTGTAGACATAATTTAAAGATTCCCTACGCTTAAAGTAGTATATCTGATTCACAACGGTACCCTTTCATCTTTCTCTAATCAAGGATGAATGTTCTATTTTCATGGCTTAAAATTGATTGATTTAAAATAAGTAAATTTTGGATTTCTTGCTGCAGAAACCAAGAAGGAAATTAACAGAATTTGACAGTTTTCTCCGAAGAAAACAACAATATCTAAATCGCTATGGATTACCACTGTGAACCGGACATGCCACTTATTTTTTCTTAAATAAAGGGCCACACTTGGCATGATGACTATCAGTTCGTTCCTTTGAACAATTGGAATTATTCAAATCAGTGATATTCCTAAAAATATTCCTCATGAGAATATAGAACAAATTTTCTTCAGAAATTGGGGGTTTAAACATTTTTCTATGCAAACATGATTAAAGTAGGGTTTCACGAAGCGTTGAGAAATTTCTGATATTTTTTAAATTCTCAGTTCTGTCCTGTCGTTCCTGTTCGTCCCGCCTTTCTGAGAAACTTGGCCTTTCTGAGAAACTTGTCCTTTCTGAGAAACTCGTCCTTTCTGAGTTATTTGATATTGCAGTTAGCTTGCTGCTGTGCGATTTTGATTCACTGATCGTCCCATTCATTTGGAGTTTCGGGGGTTTAGTCGGTCCCAGAACACTGTTTTCTTGTCCTCCGTCGGCTAGAGAGGACTGAAGGTCCTGTCCTCCATGCTCTAGGGAGGACTGAACGTCCTGTCCTCCATTCTCTAGGGAGGACTGAACGTCCTGTCCTCCATGCTCTAAGGAGGACTGAACGTCCTGTCAAATATTTGCTGTTTGCCATCCATTCCTGTGTATAAAATAAAATTATTTAGTATTTGTATTATTATCAAGTATCCAAATATATGATTCATGATTTATCATAATTGATTATAACAATTGACAGATGAAATCTTACTTAAATTAAGAAAAAAAATTTTGTATAAGGGAAACTGAGTACAATTGTTACAGATTTTGATTTTCTAATTCTTATATCTTTGCAACCTGATACTTTGATACTTCAAACATTGTCTGATGTCTCTCTGATCTTACAGAATTTATGTATATTAAAATATCAAATGTCTACAACATCTGTTTCAAAGATATAAGAAATGTAATATTAAAGTGTGTGTATTCTGTTGCTATCTGGTTTTCAATATTTTGCAAAACAAGTATTTCCCCTGCTTTATCTAAAGAGAGGCAAGACAACAAAGATAAGCATTGCATCTTCAAACCTTGATTTAAATGACTTTTTTTTTTCTGTGTGGGGGGGAGGGGGAGGGGTTATATAAACAAAACCCAGTTTTATTTAGGGTTTAAGTTTTAGGACTAGACACGACCATGTAGAGAATTTCTCAACAAATCCCGAAGAGAAATATCTAAAATTGATAAAAGTTTAAAAGTCTTTTTTCTTCAACTGGGTTTACAACAGATGGTCACCCACAAAAAATGAGCTTCGGAGTCCACCGTACGTAGTTGATTCTTTCTTCCTTTACTTTATATTAATGGTTCCCGGCAGCTGTAAATTTTGTAAATCAATAGATTAGCCATTAAATAACTATTATATATATAAGGCAGAAGAATTAATTCTAAATTGTCATTTTTATAAAGTTTTGGGTCGTCTTTATTGTCTCTAACTTTGCGGGTGACCCTGCAGGTTTCTATAAATTATATTTATATAAAATCTGAAAACTGTATTTCCTAGGACTATTAGGATGATTCCAAACGATGCAAAGATCGATGCAAAATGTAAATTCTGTAAAAATCTGTTTTTATATATCTTTAAAAGCTAGGATAAAGTCAAATTTTCTCAAGCATTAAGCTTTGATTATATCGACCATTGAGTTTTTTTTAAAGGCTTTTGTCTCTTTTGGCTCTTACGCAAAAATTAATTGGATATTTCTTGCTTTAAAAACAATGGTGGAATTATCAGAATTAAACAATTTTCGAGCGAGAAAAAAAACGACGACGCTATTACATAAAAGATCAGAGCGTGAAACTTTAGAATGGTGTGATATCGAGATTAAAGCTTGATCCTCTCTTTTTATTAATATCGAGACTTACCTAATCTTGTTTTTAACTCATGATATAAATATCTAAAAGTATTTTAATAATACCTATCACAGTTTCGTTTAAGTATACTAGTTCCTGGTAACCCAACCCTTTCAATCTCACTCTCATCAGACCTACAGTACAAATATAGGGGTTTGGTAATAGTGCAAAAGAAAAGGATTTTGATCATAAAGCCAACCAATCTTCTGTTGCAACAACGTCATAAGTACATATGAATATTTGATCCCATTTCTTCCAGTAATAGATTGAAAAAAAAAAACATTTGATTGGTTGAAAACAAAATTTAGATTTTTTAATTTATAATTTATTTTACCTCATAAATGGATTAGATGAGACCATTTGATGAACCTTTGAGGGTTTCAGAGATTGTTCCGTGAACAAACTCTAGAATAGATAAAATTAGTTTAGAATAAGTAGATAAAGAAACAGAAAAAAATAAGGAACGAACACAATTCAAAAACTAATTGAACTATTTTATATATCGATTTACATTTTCAATTATAATTTTAATAAAGATAATATTTTTCACTGTTTAACAATGTATTTTGAAATTACAAAAGAAATAGAATTATCGGAAATTATTGCATTTAGAACGTATAAATGAAAAGGAATAATGAAAACTATTAGTTTGAATAATTTTTAAGCAAATAATTTTTAAAGAATTTGCATATTGCAAATTTCTAACCTGAGATTTTGCAAATGAATGAACTGTTCTAGGGAGAGGTTTAGGAATATTCGCATTCGGATTAGGGGTCACCTGTGAGCCCCTGAAACTAAGTGGAGGCCCCTGGGTGCCCCTTATACTGCCTGGGTTGGCCCCTCTAGGTATAGGTTTGTTGAGAGTAAATGATCCAGACTCCAGGTAGGGTTTAGAGTAGGAAGGTATTCTCTCATCACTAGCGGAGTGTTTTAAAGGTTTTACAAAACCAACATCTAAACAAAAAGATATAGAGACTAATTTAAATACTCAGATTTTTGAGGGGTTCGTATCTGTCCCCACCTTTTGAGATGAATACTGTATCAATTAACACCCCCTGAGGCAGTTCACCTCCCTTATATTGTTTTAACTATTTCGACGCAATTTTAGAAGTGACAAATCATAGATAGGACATTGCATAGAAAGACATTTTATTGACGGACATTTCATGGATAGGAAATTTCAAGGATAGGACATTTCATGGATAGGACATTTCATGGATAGGACATTTCATAGGACATTTCATGGATAGGAGTTTTCATAGACAGGAAATTTCATAGATAAGACATTTCAAGACATTTTATAGACAGAGATTATTTTCCTGAGACAGAAATGTCTTATCTATGAAATGTTCCAATGCCGAAAAAAATGATTTCACTGACAAAGAACAACTTTATAAAAGATGAATACCTGGAGATACATCAGAGATATTGTTGAACTTGTTTATCAACAGTTTTGTGGGACTCATGTCCGAGTTTGTGGGAGTAGTGTCGGGCATCCGGGGAGAAGTGTCGGTGACCCTACTTCTTGAGTCGTTCATATACGACCGAGTGTCGGTGATCAGCGATCTTGGGTTCTGTAAACTACCACTATTGTCGTTGATTTGAAGCCTATTTTCGGTGACTAAAGACCTGGTGTCGTTGATAAGCGATCTAGGATCGTTAATCAGGAATCTGGATTCTGTGATTAATGATTTAGTGTCGTTGATTCCCTCCCCCGGGCTAAAGTCAGAGCCTGGGGAAAGTGAACTATCACTATTCCGGTTCTTCTGCTTTTTACTCATATCCACCCGGGCATACAGGGCCTAAAAAAGTTAAAATTTAAATAAAAAAGAATTGAAAACATGTTTTTATCCGATTAGGTCTTCTTACCTGTACATCCTGGTCCGACCCTGCATGGAGAACAGTCGCCTAGAAAACAAATTATGGTGAACATTTTGATTTAAACTTAAGTGATCTTTCTTAATGGAATCTAAATATTAAGTGTTTTTTCAGCTGTCTCTGCTCTGTAAAAATCAGGGAAAAGGAATAAATGGAAAGGAAATGGCGCTGGTCTGGCTTGAGAAAGCCAGTCGCACTGCTTTGCAGACGAGTTCGGTATTACATACGCACACTCTTTTGGTACTGACACACAACATGACTACAGTCAAGGAAATTGCAGAACAATTTTTTCAATTATAATAAGGCTTGAATAACGAGAAGTTTATTGTAAACTTTAATCAAATTATATTCTTTGCATGAAAATTTTTCTTTATAGTGTTGACTTTAATATGTAAATAATATATTATAGAGGACGTGAGTCAGACTCTAATAAAACGCATAGATAACTTCCAGTATATATATTTCTTATAACTTATTACTAGAGGGTTCAGAACTAGAGTCAATATCGATATCGCACGTGTAGACTGTAGAGATGATATCAGTACTCATGCCCCGTATCCGTTCTATATCTTTTGGTACAGACACACACACATGACGTTTTCGCCCCCTGGTAAAAATCTGTGGACTAGGGTTGATTTGATTTCGAACCGGACTGACCCCTTGTTAAGTTGTACCAGACCTTGTACCGGACTGACCCCTTGTTAAGTTGTACCAGACCTTGTACCGGACTGACTCCTTGTTAAGTTGTACCAGACCTTGTACCGGAATGACCCCTTGTTAAGTTGTACCAGACCTTGTACTGGACTGACCCCTTGTTAAGTTGTACCATACCTTGTACCGGACTTGGTGACGCGCAGAAAGTACCGGCCCGCTCTTATCCTATGTCGGCCTGGTTTCAACTTTGATGGTGCAGCCAGACTTTTTACAGTACCTGGCCTATTATTAATGCCTATATTTACCTACCCCGCTAGCTTAGTTTAGTGTGGCATGAAGTCAATTATTCTTGCGTTCTTGTGTTGTTGTTGTTGAGGGTTTTAACTAACATTTTTTATATAAAATTCTACCTGTGAAGCTGAGCTTGTACCGCTACTCATACTCCGGTCAGTTTCCTTGTACTTCCTGGACACACTAGACATAATTATAAAATAAAGCTCTTTGCTCATATATCTTTTTATATATATTATTTATATATATATGTTAGCTATAGCTGGCCAAACGACTGGACCAATTTGGCGGATATTTTTGAGAAACCCCAAATATGCCCTGGGGTAACATAGCCTAAACAAAATTTGGATTTNTTCACGGGCTAGGTCGGGGATTAGAGCCAGTATCATCATATTAACTGTACCATCCTTGTGAACCAGAGGTTCTGGTTCAAAGTCCATGACCCATTTAATGTAGATTTTTCGTATTTGCTGTTTTATACTGTTCTTGATATGTTGGGCTATATTATATTGAATATTTAAGTACACATAGTTTCTTGAAGTTTCTTACGCTACTTTAGAAGTTTCTAAATAAGAAATGAAAACAAGACTGCTAATATTCCGATACAAACTGAACGGTGTAGTTAGGTTTTCATATACTTGTAAAGTTGTACAGCATATCTCGTCTAGTGGGCTGAAATAGGTTCTAAAGTATAACCAGGACCTCTAGTTCACCGTGGGTTGTTTACATTTTATAATCTAGTTCACCGTAGGTTGTTTACACTTTATAATAACGTACTGGAAAATCAACATTCAGTAAACATTGATTAGAAACTGCAATTCCTTTCCGATCATGAGGACTATTTGGTATTGTTTATGAGTTACTGAGCACAGTGTGAAAAAACTCTTTTCTCCTCTTGTAGCTTTACTTTCGCTCCACATAAAAACCCCAACAAACTAAAGGCGACTTACCCAGAAAACTACCAGGGTACAAATCTCCAAACATTTTCAAATAAAACCTTTGAATATGTTTAAATGAAGATGAAAAAAGTTTAAATTTAATTTTGACTTAATTCCTATAATTAGTGTCAAATTTTCCACTCTGACTCTATCTTTCCTTATTTAAGCTCTGAATGAAAAGTTCCAATTTTTGAATAATTAATTAAGATTAAACCTTCTCAATTTTTCCAATATTATTTATGATAATTAATATTCTATTTTACTCAATCCAGAAGGGAACTTGAAACTACACGCCCCTCTTCTAGACTGATTAGCAACAATTTTAGCGTTTAAATGTTGCTTTTTAGGTGGTAATTGTTTTCGTAATTGTAAAATCTTTCTGTTTACCATTGGAAGATTTCTAAAGTTTAAAAATTAACATTTTTCCATTTAGAAAATTCTTTATTTAAAAATTTGTGAGGTTTCTAGCGAAAATTTAGCTTTTTTCGCGAAATTTTGTTTTAATCTGTTTTGCAAAATAATGCGAATTTAGAGATGGAAAAATTTCGCGCAAAAATTTGAAAATTATTGGGAAGGGGGGGGGGGGAATTCGAAAAAAAAAAGAATATACGGAAGAAAAATTATATTATGATATAATAAAACTTCTAATGCTGAGCTCTGAGAGCAGAGAATTCGACAAGTTACTTTTCACAATTAATTGTTGCACTTAAAGTTTTCGCGTAATTTTTTTTCGCTTAATACAATCCCCATATCGCCATATTTTTAGTCCTTTTTTTTCTTTTATTCAAAACCGTCAAAAATAGCGTAAACGTGTTAATTATTTAAGATAAAAATACTAAAAAATTGTATAGCCTCTAAATTACCGTGATGTATCTATAATAGTCAAACTATAGTAAAATTAATTGATTGAAAATAGTTTTCTTATCATAACTCCTCTTCATGGAATAGTTATTGAGAAGAACAAAACTAATTTGATAATCTTCACTTTTGCGTATAATAAGAACTAGAGGAGCAATTAACGGAGTCCCAAGGTTGAAACAATAATGCGTATAATAATGCGTATAATAAGAACTAGAGGAGCAACGGAGTCACAAGGTTGAAACAATAATGCTAATGGAATTTGATCTTCTCCTCCTAGTTAGTTTGTAGTGATTGTTTAAGTTATACTAATTTGTAGTTTTTAGCTATAAATGTATTGCATACAATTCAATGTGTTTTTTACAGGGTTGCCCAACCAGGATGAGACTGTAAAGACGACTTAAAACTCTTCAAATATGACGATTCCAAGTCTTCTGCCTCAAATCTTTTCTTTAAATGGCTTATTCAATGAATTTGAGAAGACAGAACGAAGTTTATATAAATATAAAGACACAGACTGTACAAATTGCGTATACAGTCGTCTCTGAAATCTCATCTTTTGTTGGTTACCCTGTATGTTAAAATGCATTATTATGTAATTGTGTGCCTTATTATTTCATAATTCTGCTCAACAGTTTCATAATTGGATTCATCATTATATTCTTCTCTAGCTCCTCCCACACTATATGAGATAATAATAATAAAAAATAATTATTATTATTATTATTATTATTATTATTATTATTATTATTTTTCTTGTTATTGTCATCAATTAATAGTATTAATAATATTATCAATTCCTAGCATAAGGATCTTCTGCGTCAAGTCCATCTGGAACACGAAGACTGTAATCCTCTGTACGTCTGAATAAAAAAAATTAAATCATTAAACAAAATGATAATTAAGCAAAATACAGAAAATATGTAAATCTAAGATTTGTTAAGGCTTTGCGCCCCTATTATATTAAAAAATTAGCGTTCAAAAGTTGCTCTTTAAGTCACCATACTTTCGTTGCATTTGTAAATCTAAATTTTTCGAGGAGTTATCTGTTTAAATTGATGCAATTTTAGAAATAATAAATGTGGACGTATTTTTCCGGTAATGTTTCTCTACTTTGACGGTCCATTTTGAAAATGATCAAATTTCAGAAAGAAAATAAGACAATTTAATTTTGATATCTCATTCAAAATCTGTCGATATAGCGTGAGAACCTTATATACTTAAATATTTAAAATAAAACGCTATAATAACAAGTATTTAATAGCCAAAAATGAAAAAAACTAGACTTAATGATTGAATGGATTAAAAGAAAGTTTAGACTCAGTACTTGAGTTTGACCAGGCCTTTCAGATTACCGACGTTCACTTACTGGAGACTTATCCTACAAAATTCATTTTAAAATAAAATGTTAGTTTCTCACTTTCTAGCTTCTGCACTCTTCTAATCTAGGAAATTCAGCTGGGGTCAGCTGGGGTCAGCTTTACTAAAAAATACGACATTTATAAATTGATTTTCTCCGATTGCTTCATAATTCTCTAGTTTTCAGTGTCTACTTGTACCGGCCTGGTGTTTGGTCCTGTATAAAAGTGTACCGTACTGAATTTTAATTGTACCGGTGCGATCGTGACATGTACATTGTACAGAGTGTTGCTACATAAATACTTTATTCGTTTACAGCAATTATATTGACAAACTTCGATATATTTTTTCTAATTCTTGAAAAAAGTTTCTTGTGTTTTGTATATCTTTTATAGTTTTATGTAAATACTAGAATTAGATTAAATTTAATGGAAATGAAGTATAGGATCCCAGCTCCGGGTTTGTTTATTGTGGGTTGTAGAAAGAGGGTGAGGGGGGGGGTAAGTTGGGTTGGGGATGTGAGGGGGGGGGGCTTAGAAAGTATGCATGGAGGTTTCTAAGATGAAGAAGTTGTGCTCAGGATGTTTTTTCAATTTGCTTGTCTAAGGAAAGAGAACTGTTTTTTTTTAATCTCTGGGTTCGTTTCTTAAAATTATTCGACGTTTTCTGAAGGTTCATGCAAGTTGATATTATTATTTCATAATCTAGGAAGTTCGTTAATGGTTCGTTTATCGTTCGTTATTTCGCTCATGGTTGTTCATTGTTCGTTAGTTCGTTCATATTTCGTTCATTGTTCGTTAGTTCGTTCAATTAATGACTGATTCCAAAAGTGTTGCCCACCACTAAATATAGNAAAGAAAGAGGGGGGAGTCGGTTAAAGGGAGTGTTCGCCAAAAATGAAAGGGGGTATAGGCTTACGGCGAAAAATAATCGCTTTTGATTGCTAATGATCTTACTTCTATCTGTTGCGTCTATAAGGAGAAAATTGTTAAAAATGACTTATACTGAAGAACGTAGCGTTCATACAAATTCAGAAAGTGCATTGTATACAAAACAAATAAAAATATTATGAAATATTAACTATATATGAATGCGTCTAAAAATAATCGATGACTATAGGTTGTATAATATCTGAATGATTTGTCTGAAAATAAATTGATTCGTTTACGATCCGAGTTATAAATTGCAACTCTCTGAACTTGTATAGACGCTACGTTCTTCAGTTTAAGTCGTTTTTAACAATTTTCTCCATATAGATGCAACAGATAGAAGTAAGATTAGTAGCGATCAAAAGCGATTATGTTTCGCCGTAAGCCTATGCTCTCTTTAATTTTTCGCGAAAACTCTCTTTAAAATCAAACTATCTGAAAACTATTCCTGCATAAATACAAGAAATTGTTGAGGGGGAGTAGAAATGCATAATTTGGTTTTAACACATTTTTAAACTTCAAAAGAAATAACCAATAAATGGGCTCGAATACCTCATTTTAAAAAAAATTTAATATTTAATAGTCGGGGGTGTGTCGTAAAAAGATTTAATATGGAGGAACAATTTTTCATAAATTTCTGAATTAAAACCTTTGTGGGTCGAATTCCATTTCCTGTCTTAATTTTCTCCATGGATGAAAACCCACATCTGCCAAGGTTCCGTCATTGTCTTGTATTTTCTCCATGGATGAAAACCCACATCTGCCAAGGTTCCGTCATTGTCTTATATTTTCTCCATGGATTAAAACCCACTTCTGTCGAGTTATTTCTTGTCTTTTATTTTCTCCATGAATGAAAACTCACTTTTACCAAGTTTCTGTTCTTGTCTTTTACTTTCTCCATGGATAAAAACCCCCTTCTGCCAAGTTTCCGTTCTTGTCTTTTATTTTCTCCGTGGAGAGAAAACTTTTAAACATTTTTCATTTGAAATTATTGTATTTTACACTCGTGAGAGATTCCCCTTGACTGGGTTTTGATCGACGCAAAATTGTAAAATTGGATGAAAGTTGGAAAAGGGGAAACCTTTCCGATTCCGAAAATAATAAAAATAAATTTATGATTTAGAAAACCTAGAAACGGCATTGTTTTCAAAATAAACTGGAAATTTTTTCATTTATGCTATGATAACATTTTCTTTAGACAGAGTTGTGAAAACAATTTAAAAAAACCTGAAAACCTATTGTTCCGTTGATGGTTAAATTCACGATAAACAGTTTTAAAAAGTCCGGAGAAATCAAAATAATTTTAAAAATAAATGTTATTTATCCACTTTAAATAAATGAACACATGTCTAAATAAAAAAATAAAATTTTTATTATTTAAAAAAACCTGAAAACCTATTGTTCCGTTGATTTAAAAAGTCCGGAGAAATCAAAATAATTTTAAAAATAAATGTTATTTATCCACTTTAAATAAATGAACACATGTCTAAATAAAAAAAATAAAATTTTATTATGTAAATTAAAATCTAAATAAATTAAACTCACTTGTTGGTATAATTTACTGTGTCCAGATTCCTTCGGAGATCCATTTCTAAATAAAAAAAATAATAAATGGGAATTAAAATATTATTTTTTTACTTAATCAAATTTCAAGGGATAAAACTTAATAAAAATATAGGTTTAGAGATGAAAATATTAATTTTAGTAAAATCTTAAGAAGTTGAAAAACAAATTACAAAAAAATGTCTAACAAGTAAAAAATATCAGAAAACTGCCATAATAAGAGGGTTTTTAGGAAAAATATAGATTAAATAACTAAAATTAAGAGTTTTTAATGAAGAAGTATAAATTATTTCAATTTATTATGATAACTTTCGTTCTTAATTTTCATTTATAAAAAAATTATGAAATTGATAAAAAATGTTCATTCTTTTTATATTTCATTAAAATTAATGAATTCAGATACGCATAACTTCTAAGTTATATGTACACTGTACAACTTATATATGTAGTTTTAAAAATAAGTTTTAAAAAGGAAAATTTTTATCTGAAAATTAAATAATTAATAAAAAAAACTTATTTTCAAAACTGACAAAATTAATAAATCCATGTCTGTCGGCAGTAAAAGTATCATATCTGAATCAGGGACTCTTTTCAATGTGTAGATTGCAATGCACCATTCACAATGGTACCTTTAAAAGTTTTGCCTGAATTATCTTTCGATTTTATTAATTTTGAAAACTTATTATTTTCAATGGTGGGTTTTCTACAAAAGGGACTTGCGGATTATTCAATCTAGAGAAACGAAAATATCTTCCACAATATTGATCAGATTAAGGTCTTAAGAGTACTGTTGTGAATCGGACATTGCTATCTTTTCATTATAGGACCACCTTGAACTCCTTTTAAGCCGATGTTTACAAAAGAAGACAAGCTATAAATGTTTCCAAATCATTTTTTTTTATTAAAAGTAGAATTGACTCACCTGGAGAAAGTAGAAAGACTAGTATGATGGTAAAGGGTATTCTGAACATTATATTTTGCCATGATGGAATCATGTTTAGGATCCAAAACACCATTTTTTAACTCCAAGCTCTTTTTGAAGTTCAAGCTGGTGTTGTTAAGCTGCTCCTTGAACGGGAAGTGCTGCTCCTGAGGTTCAGGTTCAACTAGATGAGGTTGGTTGAGGTCATCGTAAACAATTACTCCAGATCCAGAATCATTGTCCTAAATTATTGAATCTCTTAAAATGTACTGGCTTTCGATGCAAAGATGAAAATGCCTGATCAATAGTTTTAAAAACAAATTATTTTCAACTACAGGTTCTCTACAAAAGTAACTCGCGCATTCCTACTCCAGGAAAGTCCATAAAGAAAGTATCAGAGTTAAAAACCCAGAAAAAAACTACAATATGTTCCACATTATTGATCTAAAAAGGTTTCAAGGGTAACGATGTAAATCGGACATAACCATCTTTTCGGAGGTTCAATTGAAACTACGCGTAGAGTCCCTTTTATCAGTAATCTGCTAATATATTTAGGCAAAACTGATTACTTAGTCAAGCTAAAGAAATAAAAAGATAAAAAAAATTGTGCAACCAATATTTGGTCAATTTTATTTAGTTTTATTTAGATTTATTTAGTTTTATTTAGTTTTATTTAGTTTTATTTAGTTTTTCAATAATCTACCTACAGGGTGTCCCATAAATCATTTTACAACTCAGAGACAACTTAACGGTCGTCTTTAATCTTTGCTATGTAATGTATACTACATTTAAGGATAAAGTAGTAATATAAGTATTAATATATTTAAGTAGGAATTATGAGGGTGTACAAATGAGCTACAAAGGAATTGAGTTTTTGCCACAGACTCTGATTTTCTAATTTTAATATCATTGCAACCCAATGATCTAAACCTTTAATATTTCAAACAATGAATGCTGTTAGATCATATAATGTAAGTTTGAAAAATCAGAGGTTTACATCATCAGGTTACAAAGATATAAGGATTACAAAAATTGAATTTGTGGCAAAGACTCAATTCCTTTAGTTATTATTAGATAGCTATAAAATAGCAAAGAATGTCGTCTCTTGACCGTCATGTTTACTGAGAAACCCTGCACTAGATACACTTGAATATAGTTCTCACCTTAAAATCATCATCGTCTCCCTTCCGAAGTGTATCGGTGATCAAATGGTTTGCAGAATTTTGGGAGATTTTCCGCGAGTTTGCCTGAAGTAGTTTTGAGTTTTAATGCAAAGTTTGTTTTAATGAGTTTTCTAGGATGGAAATAAAATGAATAACTAGAAATTTCTTCTTGAATCAATGAATCAATCCTTGAAAAACAATGTATGCAAAAAAAAAAACAATCAAAGACGACAGTACACCTAAAATTCAAGAATTAATTTTTAAAGACGACAGAACCCCTAAAATTCAAGAATTAATTAACAAAGACGACAGTAAACCTAAAATTCAAGAATTTATTAATAAATAACAAAATACCGATAAAATTCACATACATATCAGCGACGTTTGTAGATGGTGTAATTTTCCAAAATTGCATATTATACTATTATTAAAATATAATATCTCTATCTCTATCTGCTATCTCTATCTTATCTATGTACTTATGATGTTACAGATTCAATGATCTTATAAACATTGATAATCCAGAAATTAATGATAATTTAAATATAATACCAACATTACATAGTCATTACTAATCATATGA